TAAAACAATAACAGACAAAAAAAAGGCAAAAAGGCGGAAAAGCTCAACATAACACACACACACCCAGCGTGAGCAGCTTAACTTCAGCATCAGAAATAAGGTTTAGTGAGATACGTGACTCTTACACAACAATAAATCCAGTTTAATATGTAAAATGACTAATAGGTGAACTAGTTGTATTATAATAATCATTCCCATATAAAGGTAATGCCCGAGTTCCGAATGTTCAAAAAACCTTTGAGAGATAGATAGAGAGAGAGAGAGCATACGCTTGGGAATGTGAGAGAGAGAGAGAGGGAGATTCTAAAAGTGAAAAAGCAATGTTCAGCTCATAAATATCTGTTTCTCATTCAGCTAGACTTCCTTCAGACTTTTGAAAATTGAATAATACTTCCTATCATTCCAAATAAGGTGAGAACCGACACAAATAGATTCAAAAGGAGAATCTATGCTATCGAGGGAGATAGAGAGAGAGAGAGAGATAGAGAGAGAGAGAAGACCATGCAACAGAACGAATTCTCAATTCCCATTCTCGTTCTTACTTTTATGAAAACATAATTTCTTCATATTTGCATACTTTACGCTTAAATTACGTGGAAATGACGTAATACGTCAAATAGAGGAAGCGTAAAGTAAAAATCTCATTTTCATAAGTGCAAATGAGTAGAGCGGTTGTGCCATTTGGTTTTTTCATTTTAATTAAAAGAAAATAAAAAAAAATAAATAGAAAGAAGTGAGAATGAGGAAGAACGACACAGAGTAGAAAAGCCATACAGAGATGGAGGGATAGAGAGAGGGAGGGAGGGAGGGAGGGAGACAGAGAGAGAGAGAGATGGAGGGAAAGAGTACGAACGAACAACGGTCTTGTTCTTTCAAGAATATCTTTTGTCATTTAAAAGATATTAGAAAAGCTGTCGTGTGTGTGTGTGTTGCCTTTTCTTATTTCCAAACTTGGAATGTATTAAGCTTAGATGTCAATGCATCTCTTCTCTTCTATTCAATAGTTGAAAAGTGACTATTCCATATAAAGAGAGAGAGAGAGAGATCTAGAGAGAGAGAGGATGAGATGTGCAGATGTGTCTTCTGTGAGACACAAATCTGCTTGTGATCAGAGCTTTCTTTCTGATATTTTATGTCAAAAACGTTCTCCTATTGATATTACCTGATGCTATTTACAGCACATCTCATGGTATTTGATAGGAAAGCGATACAGAACAGATAACTTTCAACAGATTTTTCAAATTTCATAAAGCAACAGCGTAGTCTTCTCTACTCTCTCTTTCTCTTCATATATTACCGCACTCTCTTTATCTATTCATCTGATTCTTTTTTATCTCTTTCTCTCTCAATCTTTCTCTCTGGAGCTCTTCATTGACTCTTCATGTAGCTTGTGTGTTGCAGACAAGAAAACCGGGTAATCAAGCTTCAACACCGAGATTCAACATCATTGTATGCAACTGATTAGTCTATGTCAACAGGTACAAAAGTTAACTTCTGAATCTGTATTTCACATATATTCTCACACATCTTTCTCTCTCTCTCTCTCCTTCTATTATACAGTTTGTATCTCTATCTCTCTTCACTCTTATATGTTACCTTTCAATCTTTCATCATCTTCTCTCCAGTTTTTCAATTCGATTCTTCCACACCCTCCACTTCATTCTTCTATCCATTCTGTGCCGAAAACTAACTACAACGAGCAAAAGATATTTGCCCTTGTCGGAACGCAAAATCTGCCCTAGCCTGCTCATGCTCTCTCCATCTCTCTCTATAGATCTCTATCTCTCTCTCTCTCTATCTTTTTTTAACAATTTGTTTGAACCTCATGGTTGTCTTTCCATAAGCTCTCCTCTCTTCTTTCTAATTCAGTCAACTTCTCGTTTTTATGCAATATTTGAAGAGAAAAGTCAATATTTCCCTCCCCCTCTTTCTCTCTCTCTCTATCTCTCCCTCTCTTCGTGCTATTCGAGTTGAGACAGTGCGTTTGAAGAGAACAAAAAAGGAGAAAAAGATATAGAAGAATAGAGAGAGAGAGAGCGAAGGGTTGAATTTTGACGTACGTGTGTTGCTCTCATTCTCTTCAGACAATATGCCATTCGAGAATTCGTAAAAGACCGGTCTGAGGTCAGATAGATCCGCCCCCTGCAGGTATGATCTAATCAACCTTTAAACCTGGCACATAGTGGCAGACATAGACAGAAGACTGATTCATTCATTTCGTCTTCTTCCTTCCTCCTCTCTCTCTCTCATTGCCCTCTCTCTATGACTGTTTCCAGAATTTCATAAGATAAAGCTTTCTTATCTATCTAGATGATAAGTCAATCGTTCGATGTGTTCATCATCTCGTTAAGCAAGCGCCATCTTCAGTTGTTTGTCTGTCAATTATTTTAAATATTTTTTTACAACTTACGTCATATGATGTAAGCTCTCTCTCTCTCTACCTTTGATCACCCCCAACAACCATAATGCATCAAAAGATTAAACGTCGTCGTCGTCACATTTTTTATTTTATTTTTCTATTAAAATCCTATTAAGCTGCTTCATGTGGCGCTTGTTTCTACTCGGCTTTCATCTCATCATCACCTCCTCTCATCTCAATCGCCTGTTTTGCACCTTCCAATGCCGGAAATGAAATGTTATCAAATGTCTTTGAAAGATCATTACATCTTAAACAGTTATCAGTTAATGCAAAGAACAACATCATATCCATTCGGCCATACATGCCTCTCTCTCTCTCCTCCTCTCCCTCTGAGCTATTCATAACGTTCATTTATCTTGAGCAGGGGGAACCCTTCTACTGGCTCTTTCTCTCTCTCTTCCTGTGTTCAGCCTTTCATTCGTTCCAATCTACTTTCCTCCCTCTGTCCCAGTGTTGAAGAAAACTTTCTTATTGCTTTTATTCAAACAAAGATGACAAGTAAATGATCACGAGACCCACAAATGCTTTGCCAACTTTCCTTCTTTCATTCTCCCTCTCTCTCTCTCTCTCTCTGTCAGTCAGTCCGTGGTCGAAAAAACGGCTTCTGAACTTGTGAGTCATCAGGAGAAAGACAATAACGCCTTCAATCATATATATATGTGCATACGTATATACATATATATGTATTCAGATGAGGAGTATCATACTCATATGTATCGAAATGATCATGACTCTCCTCTTCTCATCTTCTGATGTATGCAACATTCATCTTCTCAAGATTTCGCTGCCCCTTCTTTGTCGTATTTGGACATGAAGCTGATTCAGAACGGAAACTCATCCCCTTCTCCTTCCAAATGATAAGAGCAAACTCATATTGATAAGTCATAAAAATCAATCAATACATAATATTAAAAGCTGATTTGCAGCTTTAAAACTATAAATTTTCGTTATTCTTTCATTAAGCGTCACTCTTCATTGCTTGTTCCTCTTCCTTTTCCATTCACACCTCATGACTCGTCGTCTTTCATCTTCTGATTGCTTCTTCCCTCCCATCTCCTCTCCTTCTAAGCCCAATGAGATATCCGATGAACACAAAATTCCATTTTTTGAAGTTACAATCAGATACTTCTATTCATTCCTTTTCAATACTGTCTGTCTGCCATTCTCATGACGAAAGCAGCTGCAGCAGCTCGTCGGCAGACGAATCTTCAAATAATTTTTTTTTATGAACCGGTTGCATTCCAAAATGCAAATACATGTGCTATAAGAGAGAAGAAAAAAGAGAGAAGAGAGAGAGAGAGAGGGGGTTTTGCGCTGAAGAAAGAGAATCCCACCGGCAGCGCACACGCGGAGTGGAAAGTGTGGTTTGTGCTTGAAACTTCTCCACACACGCAAGTGCACATGGAGATTTACTTCATTCTTCAGTGACCCAAAAAAAAAGAAGATGAAGAGGAAGTAGCTGGAAAAGAAGAAAAAGAAAGGCTGAGATGGATTAAGAGAGAGTTAGTGGATGAGTAAGAAGAAGTAGTAGCAAAGAGAGAGAGAGAGAGATAGAGAGAGTACAAAGACAGGAAGGAAGGTTATAGTTAGAATGGACTACTAAGAGAGAAAGATAGAGAGGGAGAGGGTGTGAGAGAGATACGAGTCCAATGGAATGAAGTTTCTATTAAAATATTAAATTTTTATCTCATTTTCTCAAACAGATAAAAGATATTTCGATCACTTGTCTCTCCATAAAAGTACTTCGATTCTCTCTCTCTGCCTATCTCTCTCCATAGATCTCTCTCTCTCTCTCTCTCTCTCTCTCTATCTCATGTTCCGTCGTCATCCTTACCATTATTGGCTTTTGCATTGGAATGAGTTCATTCACATCCAATTTTCAAAACCTTTTTATGGTTGCCTAGCTAAGATTTCAGTCGTGCCATAGCAAAAAGCAAGAAGTCAATTGTATGTTCTCTCATACCTTTTGTTTTTACAAAATAAAACACCCAACAGGAAAAATGAGAAAGGCTGCCCCACACATACATACATACATACATGCATAGATAGATATTGAGAGGGAGTTGGAAAAGACTCAGAGAGAAAGACATTAAGAGGGAGAATGATTAGCTGAGAGAGAGAGAAAGAGAGAGAGAGATCAGCAGCACAAAAAATTAAAATTATTTTTCCGTTTTTTGTAGCAAAAACACTTTTAATAATCAGCTCACATGCGCTTATATAACCTGTTGAGCGAGGAGCATTCGCAGCTCTCGTTAATCATTCAACTCAATCAGTTAAGATCTCGTTGATCAACATCATCATTCAATTACTTATATGTACTCCTTCTCTCACCTTCTCTCTTTATGCATTTCTCGCTTTCTCATTCAACCACCATATTCACCGTTCTTCGTTTACTTCTCTCCCTTCCTTTACTCAGAATCCATCTCTCTCTCTATCCATATCTCTCTCTACCTCTCTCTATACATCTCATTCTCTCTCTCTCTTTTCTATATTTTTTGAAAATCTTTGATTTTCGTACCTTTATATTGAGCATCGTCAGTCAATCCAATTGTTATCTTTTCATCGTCATCATATTTTCAGAATGTTAGAAAAGGAGAAGGTCGATATTCTTCCGATAGCTCATAAGAGTTATGAAGTTCGTCGTTGGCCTACGTTTGTTGCTCTCATCTGTGTGGTAAATTAATTAATATATTTCTATTCTTATATATATAAATGTTTTAAAAAAACTAACAAAAATATAAAGAAGAGAGAGAGAGAGAGAGAGAGAGAGAGAGAGAGAGTAGAGAGAGTGGTAGAGAAAGAGAGATAGAAAGACTTACAAGCTCTAATCCCGTTTCCTTTGCATATACTTTGCAATTATTCTTTTTTTTTTCTTTTTGTTCACTCATTTCCGATTATAGCGAATAATCTTTAATGATATTAGATTGAATGAATGGCTGAAAACAATAAAAATTAATTATTTGTCAGCCTAGAAAACAAAACAAAACAGCAAAAAAAAAGAAAAAAAAATAGAAAAGTGGAAAGTGAGAGCGGAGTAAGAGGAGTGTGACAAGTTGAATCCTAGAAGGAAGAGATGAAACACAGAGAGAGAGAGAGAGAGAAGATGTAAAATACAAAAATTAAATTACCATTTGCAGGGTATTGGATGGGCATTAAATGAAGTAGCATTAGCGTGGATTCATGAAAGAGTTCCTAGAGATGTTCCTCCACTTCCAGACTTGTGGTTCTCCTTCTTCCCTGAGGTAATAATCATTTGTTGACTTATACTCATATAAACATGCTCACAACTATCATTCCAGGTTCGAGGTGCTATCAGAGTAACTGAGTACATTATGCTTATATTGACATTGAATGCATTGATTATTGTTATTTGTCACCAACATCGGTAAGCCGTTTCTGAGATTTTCAAAGATTAGAAATCAGCCTGGGAGACGAGAGTTGCGAGGGAACAACCGTACTTTCTCAATTGTAAATCAAAAATGAAAAATGAAAACGAGATAGCTGTTGACGGACGCATAGCCGTACGTGAATGAGTAATATGCTAATTAGCATGAGTGTAGATACAAGCTTTATTTGAAAATGAAAATCAAGGTCTGATGTGTTAATGCATAATGATTTGTATAATTGCAGATGGATCGTCGCCAGACGTGTGTTCTTCTGTGCCGGTCTCGCATATTGTTTTCGAGCTCTCTGTATCACCATATTCCAGGTAATTTATTCATGAGATTACTATTGGTTGGGAAAGCCTTAAAAGTCGAATAAAATAAATAAGAGAGTCAGTTGATTTGTTCAAAAAAAGGAAAGAATATTTGAACAATATGTTTGCTGAGCACCCAGCCACATGCAATGTTCAATTTGAACTTCGTCAATAAATTAATGTTACCCCTTCCTTCCTTCCTTCCATTCCGGTATGATGAGTGAGTAGGTGAAGGAGAGAAGTAGGAAGGAAGACTTTCGAAGGTTTTTACTTTCCAACTAAGTTTACTCGAGGTTAAGAAGTACTTCACTTTTCAAATAACTTCATATTTACCAATGACTCGTAGTCGTAGATAGGGGGAGACAGTTCGTAACGTCACTATTGTTGTTCCAAACATCTAGAACAGTAACGATTTAGAAGATCAAATGTTGCGTTTTGTAGGTACCGGTGCCTTCGGTTAATACTTACTGTGCACCAAAGACCAATGGATCTATGGAAATTATAGCAGCTCGGGTAGCACGCATGTTCTGGAGTGCTGGAATTGAGGTAGATAGATATGCCATGACGAATATTCAGACCAATGATATTCTCTTTTCAGCAACTCCGTCCTCGTGAACTGTGTGGAGATTTAATAGTTTCGGGTCATACACTAACCATCTTCACTGCCTTTTTCACATTCAAGTACTATGCGCCAAAAAAGCTGAAAGTGAGTTGTTTGTCGATATGAGCCAAAGATGGATACAAACTGTTTTTAGATGGTCGGATATCTCTTCAACGTACTAGCCTTCATGGCCGTCATAGCAATTCTATTAGCTAGGAAACATTACACTATTGACGTCGTTCTAGGGTAGGCTTATGCTCGTCCTAATCATCAACCCATTGATCATCTTTCAGTTACACTGTTTCATCCAGAATCTTCATGGAGTACCATTCACTCATGGTTTCATATCATGACGGTGGAATGGATAGGAATATTCTTTCTTGGTAAGATCCCCTCTCTTAAACATAATACGTTCATTCCTTTTAAGGTCTTGGTGGTCACCATTTGTTTCATTCTTCGAACGAGATGCTCCACCTCCACACATTTTCCACAATCACATCGAATGGCCATCAAGTTGCCCCAACAAGATTCGCAGAAGAATAGCCTAAATACCATCCTTACACCTTCTCCTATTCCTACTTCATCCCACCTCTTTCATACGACCGATCGTTATCGAGACTTACAAATGCACATCCGATCGCCCTTTGATCCAAGACATTTTCCGACCACTCTACTGTCTACAATCCCCGCAATTTCTAGTCGTTTTCGTCCCCGTGCTGTACATCCTTCATCCCGACTTCCTCCCATTTTGCATTTCGAGTTATTCCCTTCAGCACATCTTCAGCAGATCCTCAAAAACCTCAAAAAGTCGTTGTACATAGGTTCAACCAGTTGCTCCCATTGCTTCCTTACCAAAGTCCAGAGAGTTTCTTAGAGAAAAATCCTTGAAGACTTGAAAAATATGTTGAGAGAGAAAGACTCTCTTGTTATATACTGGTCATATATAGTTAAGTAACGAATAGAATCTCAATCGTTGACTTAATTTAAATGTTTTTATTGAACTATAAACGCTCTATTCTTAAAGTGCTTTTCAATGGCAAACTAGGAATCTACAAATCTAAAATTATGCACAAAAACCGGAAAAAACAAAACTGTTGCGGTTAATAACAACTGATAAGAACACTTTACAAGAGAAAGAGGAGAGAGAGAGAGAGTTTTTGTGTGATGGGAGGGGGGAGGGGGGCCGGGAAGGTTGTAGGGGGGATGATGGGGCTAGAGGCTAGACGGGGTATAAGGGGACGATTAAAATAATAAAAAATGAGCGCTGTTAGCTAACAACTGGTTAGAAATGCAAATAAGGTTTTAATATCTCTCATCTCATCTTCATGGGGTTCATTCCTGATAAGGACGCTCAGATGATTCACATATTCACAATCTAAGCTCAGATGGGTACAGAGATTTCTTAAAATGGTAATACCGTATAACAAGGTTTGTCGCGATTGAAATAAATGCTTGCAAACTTAAAACATGACAGTAAATAAAGCAAAATAGTTTTGATAACCAGTCATCAACTTCACCGAAAGTCAAAATGTGACCCAACTTAAATGCCTAAAAGACTTCTAGACAAAGGATAATCTAGTAGAACGTCGATCTTCTTCTTCTTCTTCAACACAATCAACGTCGTTTCTGTCGTCTATTGGCTGCTCTGCGAGATCGATCCTCCTCTTTATGCTCAGGTGGACGGTAAGAAGCTTGAACACATGTTCGAGCTGAAGAACCTATTCGGGTCATGCGATAGTTAAAAGCTAATAATTACCTTCTTCGACTTCCTCGCCAACACTTTGCTCTGTCACAGAATCGGGGTTCGAAAGACGATATTGAACGTTATGTGAGTAAGGACGTAAATGCTTCAAGTAATTACTCTGAAAATAAAGGCTCAGGAAAGGATTTGCACAAGGAAAGTGCTCACGTCACACGTCGCCCATTCCGTTATGTCGTAAACTAAGCCGTCAGAGCAAGAATAATAATGCCATACAAGTCCAAAAAGTGAAGTCTCAACCCAAATGTCATTCTAAATTTACATAATTGTTGCCAATTAGGGACATCGATAGCATTTACATTTCTGGCGCTGTGATAACAAGCACATCGACGACAATAACGAGCTTCCAAAGGTCGGATGTCCGTTCGAGTTCTCAAGTGTCGTTGACCACAATCACATTTCAAGGAATTGTTTTTCATGTCTACGTGAGTTGTCAAAGCTTTGAACATATGTTGCAAATCCATTTGCTAAAGACAAAGTTAATTAGCATCTGATTGAAGGCATCACAACTCACAACTTCACTATTCGACATCTGTACTTCGTAGTCATAATTAGCCCGGCTCGGAGCATTTTGTATGGCCAAGTAAGCTTCACTAACCATCTTTCTTGCATACTCAATACCTTCGACCTGTAAATTAGTCGGATGAGTGGATTGTTTGAATGTCTGAAAACCTTGTCGTGTCCACCGTTCGTATAATTTGCGTTCAACACATTAGCTAGCTTTTTATAATTCCTGCGTATTTCCTCGTCAGAGCAATCTAATCGAAGTCCCAAAATAGAATATGCATCTATATTTCGGACTCGGGAAATTCGAAAAACTTCCTCAGCCGCTGAAAAAATGCAATGAGATTTGTATTTTCGGAATTTTCCCACCATTTGTTGAAACTTTGATACTTTCTTCACATCCGATCGACTCCGTACCCGCATTCTGAGGTTTCCGACAGAAATTTCTCAGACGCCACATACTTTCTCTGGAATACATCAGTCTCAATAAATTATGAGACAGGAAGGACTCACGATATCCAGGCAGCACATGCCAGCATATAGCATCTGATTGTGAATTCTAATTTGTAACAAAAACAAGATAACCTTAACGAGATGATGATTGAAGATAGAGAACATTGGCTTACCCGAACAAAAACACGTCGAACATGTTGGAGCTGACATCGATGATCAACGACATCAACCATTCACAAGCATTTTGGAACTGTTCACAAGCACAGAGAACATAAGCCCCTTCAAAGTAGACAATACAATAACATGTTTGGAAGCAGAAGACTTACATGCGATGGTAGCCAACTTGGAAAATCCTTCGTCCTCCTTCTTTCGCAAACCCCTCTTTTTGCTTTGAGTGGAACTCCTCTTTTTATTTTCTACTTTCAAACTTCTCGAACGTGAACTTTCCTCCTCTACAATGAAAGCGAGATTGAAAGAGAAAAAACTAATTGTCAAACCTGGGCAAATAGATGTTGAACGCGATCTTACATTTGATGACAAAAGACGTGTTTTAGCTGAAAAGCAAAATATTAAAGAAATATATATTAAAGTCAATAGCGAACCCAAGTCAGAATCTTCTCTATTCTCGTTCTCACCACCGACAGCAATAATTTTCGGACTCGGTATTACAAGCTTCTCCAACACATGGTACTTCGTAGGCTCTTCCACGTTTGGCTTGTTGAGTAGAGGCATAGATGCTGAGTCCGGGATGACTTTCTAATAAAATTTAGCCGTCAGGATCATCGTCTCAAAAACAGCTTCACCAACCTTCTCTTTGCCATTTCTCTTGCGAGATATCTTTTGGAATTCCTCGACAGCTTTAGGCTTATTATCCCCTGGAAAGAGAAATTTAATCTGTGATAGGATAGCAGTCTTACTATGGGATTGGCCCGAGTTTCCTGATCGTTCAAAAGATGTTTCTAGGCTTGATAAGCCGCTCGATCTGGACAGATCATTCTCGATCGTAGAAATAGTTTTCTGAGCCTGGAAAAAAAATTTCATGAAGCTTAGTATGGGTAAAGAAGAGGAACCTGCTGGGACGGACTATGTCCGGATGTAGGCGTTTCATTTCTAGCAGCTACATCCCGATAACTGAATGGCATTTTATTGACTACAGGTGCGGAGTGAGGAGGAGGCTTAGCATGATCTGTAACATTAGAAGCTAATAAATCCGCATGCGATACAGCAGCTCACCTTTTTTGCGACTTACAACAAAAGAAAAAGGATGAGGAAAGTCTAAAGATGGAGGTAAATCAGAATTGTTTGGAGCGCAGTGACGCACTTGTTCAACCTGAAAAAACGTCGAACATGAAAAAAAAAAGGCGACGAGAGGAACGTACATGATTGAGTTGATACAAATTTTGGTGTTGTGGATGGGAGAGATGTCCGATAAAGCTCTGAACGAGTAGGAAATACTCAAATGAACACAGGAAATGAATAATACCTGTGGGGGAGATTGGTACTGGTTTAAGAAGCTACTTCCTAGAAGAGTTTCCCATTCCTGAGGCTCTTTTATCTGCAAACAAGGATATAAAGGGAAAATCCTCAATTCTTGAACTCACTTTGTTAGTTGTAAGAACGTCGTTGTAATGAAAACTAGAATTATTTTTGTGAAGCCAAGAAGAGGATGAACTCTGTAAATTCAACTTTAATTACGAGCTTCCGGGATTAAAAAAACGTACATCAGAAGCTGAATAAGGCGGTGGTGGCTCAGGCCAGAAGTTTTGAACAGAACAATCTACACTTCCTACACCTGATATGACTGAAGAAGCAGGAATATCACTAGATCTATTACTTAAACCTAGAATGAGGAAGATCGTTAAGGTGGTAGAAGAAAGAAACAAACTTCGAGAGACAGGTGATGTTGAAAAAGATGTTTCATCGTCCAGTAGATTACCGAGAAAGTGTTTCTCCGGATCCTCGACTGATGACGACCAAGTATTCATATCGTCCTCATCTGAAGATCAAGAATATGGAATGAAACGAAGAAAATAGGAATAGAAAGGAAAACTATTATAAGCTGTTCGTTGGTGAAAGAAAAAAAACAGAAAAAACAGATTGGTTTCGAGAGAAGAAACAAATTCAACAAGCCATATAGAAACGAAAACATTCTGTTGTAGGTCGGAATATAAATCCGGATAAGATTATATTAATCGTCGGAGAACACTAATGATTTGTAGAATGACCTCCAAATAGGTCAAGCATAGGATATAGCATGTAAAAGCTCTGTGAACAATTCGGCAGCAACCTCTATCGCTTCAGCTTCAATTATCGGAAGCTTTCAAGCATGTGGACATCTTATAATACTTAATAATACACATAATTTATGTATTTACTTATGAATAAAAGTCGTTATATTGATTTTTAGCAATCTGTGTGTGCAGCAATACGTGTGACGAGTTTTCGTAAGACGCAAAATACGCAGTTCAACAGAGAACGGAAACGGACGATGAGACTTGGCGATGGTGTGTTTGGCCGGTTGACGGAGTGGCTGATGGAAAGCATCTCGTCATTTCGTCTCTCACTTTTTCATCTCACACTCTTTGCCATGGCAGAGACGAGTTCATGTTGTGAGTTGGAAGTTCGGAAACAATCGCTTCGTTCGCTCTTTATAACTTCCGCCTACAAGTCTGAAGCAGTCCGACTTGCTTCTTTAACAAATCTGCAAGCGATTTTGCGTTACGAATGCCTCCCGGGAATATGAAGATGTTGCGTTCATGCACGAAATGAAATTGAAAGACAAGATATACATCCACCATGTATTGCGGGCCGATGCTTTCCTCATGTTGTCTGGCGTTATCCTACTGCTTTCCTTCTTCATCTTCTCAACATTATGGTCAAAGAGTCTGTCATTCAAACTGCTCTTTAGCCAAGTATCGCGTCTTAACCGAATTCGGCCGATTTAGCTGCTCCCTTTTATCTCTTTCCTTCTCTCACTGTCTCTCTCTCTCATTGCCCCCCACCCATTAGGATAAGTATTTAGGAAATAGAAGTAGCTGAGAATAATAAGATGAAGATGATGAGCAAAATAAAAATTATTCGGTCGGATCAGAACAAAAGACGGTACAGTCAGAAGTTGAGACATGCCCGAGCGATACCCTGGGTATATGTGTGTCGAACAGAGCTCATTTTCAACAGATGCTGTAATAAACACATCTCTCACTTATGAGGAATACACCAGATGGCCTCTTCATTCGTACTCCGGGTGACAATGACATAAAGAATTGTAGATTCACAGAAGTATAATTCGATGACAGACATTAAGTCAAAAATCAGATGGCATATGCAATCATGATTCTGACGAGGTCGGTTCATGTTGTCTGTAAGCTTCTACTTCGACGCTAACTCCACTTCAAAAAAAATTTGACATTTTGAGTGAGTGAGGAAAACGTTAGAAGAGCAAATGAAGCTAATTTGTTGCGGCTAAGAGGGAAAGTAAGGGAGATACGATGAGAGAGAGAGAGAGAGATGGGCAAGAGGGAGAAGAAAGAGAGAGCTAACAAGAGAATTGAGCCCACAATGAGAGAAACCAACAAAAAAAGGAAACAGATTAAAGCGTGAGAAGCAACTTATGAAAATGATCAAAATGAAACTGAAATGGGAGGAACAAAAATTATGAATTATAATAGCCGAGAACATGATTCTGATGAGAATATAATGAGACAAAAGATTTTTATTTTAGATTTGACATTTGTGAAGATCAAAGAAAGCAAAAGGTGGAAGAACCAAGTTGGAGAGAAGGAGGATATAGAGAGAGAGAGAGAGAAAGAGTTCATTTGAATACAAAAACCATTTTTCAGATATTTCCTAATATGGGTAAAGGTTAGCCAATCAACTGAACCAAAGAAAGGCGATTGGACTGTTTGAAAGGTTTTTCATACTTCTTTCACTACTTTTTCATCTTCGTCCTCTTCTTCTTTCGCCTTCCAACAACAGACAAATGAGAAAAGCAAGTACGAAGAAGATTTTGCTTGCTACGTCAGACACAGCATGTGCTCGTCTAAGAAGTGTGTATGACTTCTCATTCTATTGAATAAGCAAATGATGAGTTGACATCAAAAAGAACAAAAAGGGTTCAAAAATGATGAAAAAATAAAATAGAAATGACGAGCTGAAATGATGAAATCAGATCAAGAAGTCAAAATCACAAACGATAATTGGAAGTGAAGAAGTAATGAAACACAATTACATCATCAAAGAACTATATTACCTGAGGCTACTGATTGCAAAATGATTAATGAAACAATGAGAGGGAGTTCATATGATAAAGAGAGAGAGAGGGGGGGGGCATAAGAGATAAGTGAGGATAATGTCTCTGAGAGGACAAGATAATGAGCGAAAGGATGGAATCAAGAAAAAGAGAGAGAGAGATGAAGTGAATATATCAACCGTTCAGAACGTCTGCAGATGGAAAAGGAGAGAATCGAGAGAAAGAAACAGAAGCAACTTATACCACAAAGAGAGAAAAGGAAAACTCGGCAACAGCTTCTAAACATCTTAAGAGAGCGAAAGCAGAAAGAGAAAGATGACAGACTCTCTCTCTCATAAACTATTTTTTTTGTCGAACATTTATATCAAAAGTTGAGAAGAAATACAAGAATGCTGTCAGAATGGATTGTCAGAATGAGCTGTGCAGAAGAAGAAATTGAAATGAAATAATAAAAAAAAAATAAAAAACAAACAATTGGCTATTCAGGATACAAATTTGGATTGAAGAACATAACTATGTACATGAGGTTCGAGAAAAAAGAAAAAGTAAGGAGCAATAGTGATAGAGAGAGAGAGAGGGATGGAGCTAGAAAGAGATGGAGGGAGGTAGCGAGGGAGGGAGGGAGGGAAGCAAAGGAGCTATATAGGGAAGCGGGGTGGGGGAGGGAAGAGTGCGAGGGAAGATAAGAAAAAACAAAAAAAAAACAATTTGTTTCCATCTTCTCCTGTAACTAACAAGTAAATCGATGAAAGCAACGAACAAAAAAAAAGAATTAAGAAGAAGAGTTTCGATTTCGAACAAAGGTAGCCTGAGATATGCTCATCATTTGATTGTTCTGACGTGCCAGCTGTTAAAATTGAAAATGTGTCTATGGTTGTGTATGTGAGTGTCTGTATGTGTGTGTCTGCATGTGAGTGTTTGCATGTGAATATCAGTAGTGTGAGCACGTTAATATCATCAGACAATCTATATTTTTCTATTTTCATCATCATCTTCTGATATTTTTTTAATCTTCAAAGCATATTTATGACCTTGAGAGTGAGTCAAAGATGAAGGAGAAAGAGAAGAAGGGAGGAAGGAAGGCTAGGCAAGGCAAAGGCGAATGGAAAAGAAGACGACGGCAACGACGAAGATGAAGGCAACAACGATATACGTTGACACGACGATGATGATGAAGAAAAAGAAAAAAAAAGTGCCAAAACGACATGCGTAGAGAACGAAATGAGATGAGAAGAAGAAGAAGATGGAGAAGGAAAAAAAGGGCCTAAAGTTTGTTTTCATAGCGATCATCGTAACGAAAATGAAGAGAAAAGAAGACGGAAGAAAAAAATAAGGAGGCTAAGAAAACGACAAAATGCAATGAAAGTTTGAGGAAAAGGCCATTGCACATCGAAGAAGGTTTGGCTGGCATCAAAAACAAGACGAGTGACAGCCCCAAAAAATGGCGGCGATGATAATCATTTGAGACACGAACGAGAATGGATCAACAGAGATCTGTGTTAGAAAGTGAAATCAAAGTTATTTATGATAAAATGTGGATGAGGCTAGACTACCTAGACAAGAAGGAACAAGGGCAGACAGGGAGGGATGGCGAGAACAAGGTGCTAGTTGTTGCAAGGCGCAAAGATACATGAAAGAGATGAGAAAAAAACATAACAAAACAAAAAAAAATTAAGATAAGAGAAAGAGAGGGATAGAGAGATAGAGAGAGAGAGAGATGAGGAATAGATAGATTGCATGTGAAGTATGTGAAAGAGATAAAGATGGAGAGAGAGAGAGAGAAGGTAGAACTGTCAATGTTGAAAGTACAAAACATGATTCTTGTGTACTCCTCCTCCTCCTCCCTTTACCTCAACAGATCGTTTCGGTCCTCAGACAGTTTCATCAGATTCTCTCGTTGCGCAGTCGCATCAACTTGACTCTCATAGTTTTCACTTCATTTTTCTCTTTGAAGGTCGGATACTTTCAGAATTCTCTTACCTTCTCTCTCTCTCTCTCTCTCTCATACTTCTCTCTCTCTTCTTCTTTTTTTTTCAAAAATTCATTTCTTATATCGTATTCTTAGGATCTAAAATGGTTTTAGTTCAACTGATCGAAGACAAAAATTGAACAAAGGAAAGACATTTATCTTTCCAACAACCGTAAAATATAATTTGCAAAACGAAAAATGAAACAAAAAAGAAAAAGATTTTCCCATTTGAAAAAATCATTTCCTTTCCTCTCATCCTATTCTCTCTCAATAGCTCTTTCTCTTCATCTCTTTCTCTCTCTAGGTACATCTTCTTGATACCGAAACAATAAGGAACACAGAGAGAAAGAGTGAGTGAAAGAGAACCGGAAGGATCATTCCTCTTTACCCCTTCATCTTCCTTTTTGGAAACTTTGGCCCCATACAAGGAGAGAGAGAGCAGTTTCCTTAGTTCGCATAGACTTCATTCAAAAGTCATTTTCCTCCAATTTAATATCAAAATTAACTAAAAGTCAAAATGGAAACTCATTAAAATGCTTGAGAACACTATTATCTAAGTCAAAAGCTCAAAATATTCTCACACGTTTCAATGTCATTTGCATATTGTAACAAACGAACGACTGAAACTACATGTGCTTTTCCTTTATTTTCTTCTTTCTCTTTTTGTTTTTTTCTCTACAAAAACAGCCTTATAGAATTGGAAACAAAAAAAAGCCGAAATTGATTGTAGCAATCAGAGAGAGAGAGAGAGAGAGAGAGAGGGAGAGAAGGAAGAACAAAGAGATAAAAGGTGAAAAGCAATAAGGAAGAGAGAGAGGGAAGGAGGGAGAAGCTGAAGGAAAAGACAAAAAATATTTTTTCTTCCATTTCTTCTCTTCTTTTTTTTTAGAAAAAAAACGAAAACTTAAATCACAACAAACAATTTATTTTCTCTCTCTTCCTTTCTTTATCTCTTTCTCTCTCTTTTATATTCAATTTTCATAATCATTTTATCTCAAAAATGTTATTTGAGAAGAAGCTGGAAGGAAGTGTGCAGGCTCGTGAAAAGGCCGTTCTCATCACAATCTCACCTTTGATTCTTCTATCTTTTAACAAGCAATTTGCTTCCTTTTTTTTTATTATTAAATGCCATTCGGAGATCATTAAAACAAATAAACAAAACGTATCTCACCCCTCCCTCTCACTCCCTCTCTCTATGATTCTCATTCCACTCTCTCTACACATATGTCTACAATTGAAATTCCCTATCCCCCTCCCTCCCTCTCTCTCTCAATGGGTTCCTACATCTCATAATATCAAAGAATTCGTGTTTCAAATGCTAATAACATATGAATAACTTAATATTCTTTATGAGAATCTTTTTTACAAAGCTGATCTTTGATTACTTTGACCAACAATTGACTGCCGTATGCAGTCACAGCTCTACAACATATACGCTAATAAACAATCGGAATGCCAAAGAGTGAGAGATAAAGACTAAGAGAGAGAGAATAAGAAACTGAAAGAAGTTGAAAGAGAAAGAGAGAGAGAGAGATAGGTTAATAAGAGATAATAAAAGAAAATTTATAAAGAGCAGAAAATTCAAGAAGAGAATACATAGGGAGAGAGAGAGAGAGATGAGAAAAGTCTAAGACAGCTTACAATAGAAGTTGAGCTTCTACTAACTTCTTCAAAAAAACTTTTTTATTCAAACGCTCATCGTGTTTGATGTTTCTTTGAATAGTATACTGCCCATTAAAGGTATTTATAAAGATAAGAGTATATCATTAACGAACAATATATTTTAAGTACTAGCTATTACATATAGTATCCAAGGGTAACAAATACTATCAAAAATCAAAATAAATTGTGTTCACTTTCAGTTTTTTCATCATCTCCCCCCCCCCCCCCCTTCTCCCAACAACCTATTTTCTCCCTCTACAACCCCCCTTCATCCATCATAGTAGAAGAGAGTTGGCAAAGAAAATAATCGTCAATTGATTACAAAAGATGAAAGAGAAGAAAAGAAATTATTACTTTTTATCAAAGTAATTCCACAGATTAGCATTTTCATTAACCGACTTGCCCAAGCCGATGACACTGCTGAAGCTGAAGAAGCTGACAGACGAACGCTTTGCCACCAACAATATAGAGAAGAAGAAGGAGTTGGAAAAGAATTGTTTCTTCTCCTCCATCTTTATAGCCAAACATAGCATTTAATTGTAAAAGCAAGGGAATTATATTATTTCAATAATATATTTTCCATTAAAACATAGAGAGAGAGAGGGAGACAGAAAGAGAGGTAGAAAAGGAAGATTGGAAGGGAGACAGGAGATATAGAGAGAGATGGAATGAAGAGAAGAAGAAGAAGGGTGTGGATGAAGACGCTTTGATATAAAAAAATAATATTAAATAAAATGACCTCAAGAAATTGGAAAAACGGTCACAAGTTGTTACATTGGACAATTTAAGAGCAATGATCAACAGCATTATGCTCATCTCTTTCTCTCATCATCATCTTCATTCAACAAGAAGATGAAGAAGCAGAAGATGATGATGATGATGATGATGATGATGAAGCTAAACAACGTGGTGGTAGATAGAAAAAGAAGGAGAAGATATTATCATTTCACACTCACAAAGAGAAGAAGAAAAGCATAGCGATGCATACGCACAGATTCTCAACAGATGCAAACGAATATACATTGCAAGCAGTAAAACAGAAAAAAAATTTGAAGCTTCTGCATACAAGACGTCAAAAAGAGAACGAAGTATATTCGACATTCTAGAAGTCTCATTGTATAAGCCAGCACAACAGTAGAACAACTTTATCTTGAATCCTCCAACTTCGTCTCTGTCTCAGCTCTCATACCAGATGCAAAAACAAATGCCCCAAAAAGGCAGCGCGTACAAGTTCAAAAAGATTTGCCACAGTCTTCAATTCGTCTTTCTGACGTCTCTTAGTTCACTGTTTTGAGGACGTCAAAGGGAGACAAAAAAAACGAGAATAAAATGAAATGAAACGAGAAAAAACAACAACATAGTTTGTTCATTTCGAAAGAAACACAGAGAGAGAAAAAGATAGAGAGAGATGGTGAGAGAGAGGTCGAGATAAAGAGTTAGAAAGTAAAAGGAAGAGAGAGAGAGAGGGAGATGGTAAGAAAGCAGCTGGCAGTGTAGAAGAGAGACGCTTTAGAGGGAAAGAAAGAAGAAGCGCATCACGTGATAAAATGATATTTTAAAGCTCAAATGAAAAAAAAAAAAGTTTTCACATCCTAATCTTCAAGCAGAAGATGTGTGACATCAATGAAGAAGCACACAACGCATATTTTCAATGATTTCGCAATAAAGTGCGCATGAGAAAGAGAGAGAAATGGGGAGGAAGAATAACAACAAAAATAAAATATAAAAGAGAAGTTTTGAATAGGTCAAGTTGAGTATGACGTATAGACAAAGAATCAAAATGATGTTGGAAAAAAAACATGTGAAGAATACTGCAATCAATTAGTCTCATCACGTACAGTTCAATCGATATGCATGTTTTGTGCATTTGTGCGTATGTCTTGTGTTGATCAAAGGGATGTCGTCATGTTCAAGATACAATATTGATGAAGACAAATTATTATTTTTTCTTTTAAATAATATTATCATTTTATTCATGTCAATTACAGATAATTGACGGACCTATGCTGGACGAAGCGAATCTTATCACTCAACAGCCGATAAATAATTAGCAAAAAAGAAAAAAAGAAGATGAAAAGCACAAAAATAATTTTTTCGCTTTTGTATCGCTTTTTGGAGAGGTAGAAAGATGATAGAGAGTCATGCAGATAGAAAGAGAGAGAGAGGGAAGATTGATAAACTTTTTAAAAAAATTGACTAACCTGAGGAAAAGCCGCTCATCTGTGCGTAATTGTTGAAATGAAGCTTTCACCTTGCTAATTCACGCGAGTTACTTGTTACGTGGCCACGTGACTCGGAATTTTATGCTAATTAGGCTGGAGAGATAAGCTTTTGCGGTTAAAGACGTCAAAAGGTAGAACTTGATTGTAACAGCAGCTCAATTAAAGGATTAGGCAAGATATGGCCGATTGTAACTATAATAAGAAGAAAATATATTTTTAGTTCAGAGTCGACCGACTGACGAAGCGCGCGATGAAGTGAGTTACGTTGGACGTTCCTCCAAGATGACACAAGTTGTTATGAAATATTTATTCTCATTCAATTAATCATATAATCATAATATCAAACACACCCATTTTGTGTTCCAAAATAAAAATTGCAAAGGTTAATTGGCTGGAGGAGTTGTGTTGCCAAGCAGTTCCAAAGATTACGGAGACAGCTTGTCATATCTTCTCCCCTTCTATCATGCGGTGTTCTTCAACCTTCAGTTCTGTGTGTAGCAATCTATCCTCAATTGGTACAACAAACAATATTCTTATAAGTTTCTTATACTTCATTAAAAATTCTTTTGCCCTTTCAAAAAGAATTGAATAGATCAGATTGCGATGGTTTGTCTATTGTCCTTCCATGTTCTTTGAGGCTCTTTTTTGTTCGGCTGGCAATCATCGTGGAAAGCAGTTAAACGATAGTTTCTATTGTCTGTCTCGTTTCAAAAGTTGAAAGCACATTTGACATCACATTATACCTTTCATAACTTTTGATTGTTGACCTAAAGATAGATCGTCAAGACACATTCTCTTTATATGGAAATCGGAGTAGCTGTTACATGCTTTCAAAGAAAAAAAGCTTCCAAAAAGCGTTTGCGCCAGATGTGACTTCGTCATGCCAGAAGAAACTTAATGCTTTACCTTCGCAGTAGTACATCAGCATTCATTCTCAACTTTCCTACGACAACGAATGAACTCTGAATTTTAATTCCATAAAAATCCACAGGCTCTCTTCATTTAGAAAATAAGATATCCTTAGGTGAATTGCCCTACCAAGCTTTCACAGCCCATTGCCGTTGATGATTGCACAGCCGTTTCCTTCAAACGAGAAAGGAGACAAGAAAGTGAGCCACAAATAGTAATGGCAAATCATAGAGAGAGGAGGGAAAGCGAGAGAGAGAAATGATAGAAATGAAGAAGGGTTTGAAAAGATACCCCAAACCCCGACAAACCCTATTTTCAAAGGATTAGAAGTACTAATTTGAAGGAACTACATGACGTCACCTGCTGTGGTCGTCCTTTCTTCTCCGGAAAATTGTTAAACCTTCGATGAGCTTTATAGTCTCTGAATAGTCAATGGAGCAGCCTGAAATAGTATAATATCATTGGATACTACTGAAAAAAAAACGTGACAGATCTCATGTAGATGCGAATATATTAGAAATCATGAGAATGCAACCGCTCTCCGCAAATGATTATGAAAAAATGAAGAGCGAGCCCTATGACACCGATTGACGTCACGTCAAAAATGAACGCGTGAGTGTGTGCATGCCGTAGAGTACCATATACCATATATATCATCATCTATTGATACACACGAAGCATGCTTGCAATCCGTTTTTTCTCCAGAAAAGCCGACCGTTTCGTCTTCTGGATTGTTCTGCATGGCCTTTCTAGGGAGCTTGCACTTTAATTCATCGCAATTGTTCAATAGACTTTTGAGGAAGAAGTTAAGTCTCCAGCAATTTCCAACTTGTGTTTCCTGTTGACATCAAAATACAAATTTCACACACCCTCAACTTCAAGAAATATTTGTGCAAATACATTTGTATTTGAAATTAAAGCTTCAGTATGATCGCCCACAGCCGGAAATCAAAATGTTCATGATGGCCGAAACAGAATATGCCAGCCATGTAATAGATTAATGGCTACGATGAAAGCACTTCTTGAGACACTCCAAGTTGGAACCCGTGAGAGCCAGGATTGTTAACGACCTCTGAAAGGAAATGAGCGTCAACCTAGATGAATATATAAATTTCCTGGCTCATCTTGCGCCTCGTTCATATCCGTTTTCTCTCTCAACTTCGATATAGTATTCACATGCAGCACACGTCAGTTAGGATGTATGTTTACCTTCTCTGCCGAGATAACAATCCGTCGAATCCATAGCTGAAGCTTGAACAAAAGAACCTCGAAAACCCTGAATAATCCATAAATCCAATTTCTTCGTTGAAAGTATGTAATGATAAATAGTACGATTGCTGTCTGCCCTTTATGAAGAACAACGAGATAAAGCCACGGTTTAATGAGACAATAACATCGAAATGGATTGAGAGATGGTTCATATATAAATTATCAATAATATTAAATAGAATTCGGTTAAAACAAAATGATGAGTATTAAATATAGCGAGGGACAGGCGTATGTGACAGGTATATCTCGACTAGGAGCAGGTCGGCTCGTTAATTTGCTGTAGCCGATCAGAAATAGCAAATTTACAAAACACATTAATACCGAAATATGAAAACGAACTTACGTATAACAATAAATAGAAATAAGGGACAGAGACTGGTGTGAGAGCTCTATCCTGCAGATTAAATAGAAGAGACAAGAGAAAATAAGGAAATGAGTTTTATAACTGTTTAACGGGTCTGAATAAAATTGATGAACGGGGTCGATTGCGGGACGAAAGGGCCTTTACGTGAAAATAAATGGGTCTGGGATTCATACTACACGAGGAGAAAAAACCTACTGACGTACAAGCATTCACCGATCTTAAGTGCAGACGGTTATTCTGAAGAAGGAGAAAAAGAGGACTGCACGACAGTGAGAAAGCAGACGGGGCAATTAAACCACCATCAAAAGCAGAAAGAAAAGAGACCATGATATTATCGACTGAAAACATCGCCTAGTAGCAACTTGAAATAAATATTCAACTCCAGTCACTTTGAGCCAATACTTCAGAATGTAACGGAGAAGACACGGAGAAATGAATGAAATAGTTTCTGACGAGATACCGCCTACACAAGTCATATAAAATCGTCGTCAGAAGTTAAAAACGACAAAGAAAGATGTTAATGGGGTAACTGTATACTCGATACTCTAATAAAGAAACGAGGCTACCATTTAGACAAGTTAGTTCCAGATTTTCAAGAAACTATCCCATGATCCCGTGCAAACTGCCATTCCATCTTCAGTAACTCCAAGACAGGATACGCGGTTGTCGTGGCCAGCCAAGACTCCTGAAAAATTGCAATTATTCCTTTGTTCATATAGACCACACGGATATTCTAATATCTCATTTCTCCTTTATTTTCAAATTCTGGCAACAAATACCATTTGCCCATCCCCACACAGTTTAATTATTTGCTTGCATGAAAAATCAATAGGCTGGCTGGCAAAGCGCTGGCAATTTCCTGGGGACCGCGGAGCAGCGAGGGATAATGACTTGCCAAGAGGCTGGAGGCAGAGACGACGAGAGCGACAATAGAAAACTAACAGCAGAGAGGAAGATGGGGAGAGAGGGACGAGGCAAGGCCCAGAGGACCCAGGTCATTGAGAACGAATGATTGAGGGAGAGAGGAGAGAGAAACTCTGTCTCGCGACGACGATCACGACGACAACGCCGGCAGCAGCAGCAGCATTGGACCAGCCGAGAACAGACAAAAAGCCCTAACCGCCAGCCCTGGCCTGGGCATGTGTTGTTGCTGACTGAGGCCCTCGGCTATAAATGTTGGAGCTACGACGAATGATGGTTACTTCCATGACCATATTGAGGACAGAAAGACACACAGACAAATAACAACGGAAGATCTTTGGAACGGATGATAATGACCATTGGGAGAGGGAGGGTATTTGTTGCCAAAATAAGAAAGAATAAAACAAAAGAAATACCAACCTGCTCGCTCTTGTCTCATTGAATCCCAAACGTTACAATTGAAGTCATCGTAACCGGCGAAGAGGAGACGTCCAGACTTGGAGAAGGCGACACTGGTAATTCCTAAAAAGCTTCCCCGTACACAACTCATATTTCTTACGAAAGCATACCGCAGATGATGTTATCATGAGAATACATAGCAAGCTCCTGATCAGCACGAATATCAAATAGCCGACAGGTGGCATCGTCGGATCCGGTGGCGAACGCATGTCCAGATGGGAAGAACTATAATTAAGAAATGCGATTGTAAGCTATCCAAGGAATTAATTATTCTTACAGCGACCGCGTTAATATCGGATTCGTGTCCGGGGAAGGTCTGCTTGCACTGTCCATCTCTTACATCCCAAAGCTATAAAGACAGATATAAGTAAGTGAGGAAGGAAGGAAGGAAGGGAGGGTGGAAGAGTGAAAGAAGTAAAAAGAGAGCCAGATTACAACAGTTGATTTATGAACGATCGGCCTCTATGAAAAATTAGTTTTGTTAGAAAAAACAAACCTTAGCACTGGCATCACAAGCTCCAGAGATAAATGTTCGCATATCAGGACTAAGACTAAGCGACATAACGTCTCCAGTATGTCCAGTGAAAGCTGTGCACTGTTGACCCGTTTCGATGTCCCAAAGAGCACTGAAAAGAATAATTTGTAAGATAGTTACTTTTCGAATTTGAGATTAGTCCCCCGTTCTATCCAATCTCCATCTTTCTCTAATCTCATCCAGGAAAACGTAGTAAATAAGCGTAACTAACAATCAGATGTGTGTCGCCAGTTACCCGGGTTACCCGTCGTCCCCCCTGTCATTCACAGCCTCTCCTTTCTCACACACTTTGGCTTGATCTCTCTTATCTATGCGACGCATAATGGTAACTAATCCGAGACATTTGAGTAAATATATTCGGATGTAGCTCCATGGAACCGTTTATTATGCTCCTAAGATGATACGTCATCTCGACATATCCTTATATGCCGAGCAGACCTTTTCCAACTTATTTTCCCGCGTTTCACACTCATACAAGCTATCAACTGATTCAATTCAGTTTTGAACAGAGATGCCGATTATGCAATGGAGAATCATTGGCTCCCACTCTCTCTCTCTCTGCCATCATTCTTTCCTCTTTGTTCATGGTGTGTCTAGAGAAAAAGAGAAGAGCAAAGCAGGAGAGTCCAATAGAGTACCACAACGCGTCTCAGACCAAACGTAATCGAGCAGTCTAAGCCCCGCCTAATTAGATGGCAAGCTCCAACGAGCCTCATAACATTCTCATTGCACATTCTTCACCAACGCTTTCGAACAGTCTTCTTGTTCTGCTTCTTCACTCAACTCACCAGGTCATATCACCAGAAGATGTAACAATTTGGTTATCATCCAAGAATCGGCAGCAAGAGAGATAACCAGTATGACCAGGAAGTTCTCGGGAAACTCTGACATTTCCTTCCCTTGTCTTCAGAGAATATATAGAACAAATGTTATCGAGACCTTAAAACACGATAATCAAGCTTCATTATACTAAGGCAGGTGCTTTACCTCCGCAGGCAACAAAACTACCAGAAGGTGCATAAGCACATGTCATGACCCAAGATGATCGCAGAGGAATGGCATGTACCTGAAAAAGGAGTAAAGCGTTAATTGCTCATTCCCTCTATACATCTCTTTCTCTCTCTCTCTTAAATGTGTCTGTTTATATTTTCTTTAACACACATGAATAAACAAGGCATTGTTGGACAATATTTTAACACGAAGAAGGCTACAGACGAGGAGGCATCCGCTTTCGTGAAAAATGACTCTTTGCAAACAGTACCGTCAAACAAAAGCGAATAATCACAGAACATCTCCTCGTCACAGCCTCAGAACTGTGACCAGCACAATCTGTTACTTCTCCTTACCTTATTAGTAGTATAAGAATCCCAGACGATTAATTTTCCATCTTGTGAAGCGGATACTAGATTACGACTATCAGATGCCCAATGCATAGCATAAATCTGGAAAAACACATTGTTTCGGATCAATTATGATAACTACAAACCTTGGCTAAATGTCCTCGCAAAGTTCGTCGCGTTCTCATTTGAATTCGTCCAATAGGCTCCAGATTAGAAGCCACGCTGGCAAGCGTGGTGTCATTTGCAGCCTTTCGAGCCTCCTGAAAAAGGTTATGTTAAGGAAAGTGAAACTATGTGTGCGTGGGGGAGAATGGTTGATAAACGGATATTCGTTAAGTGGAATCGCCACCTTGGCAAGAAAGCTTCAGAGGAAAGAAATTAGCGTCTTAGTTTTTTGGGCTTTTTGGAGGCACTCAAACCTATTCAGGACTATGAAGGTGACAATGTGCGGAGTGGAGAAGACTTTGTGCATCAGATTGAGCCTTAGTTGGTCTTTCCCACTTCAAAAAGACTCGTTAATGGTTTAACTCCCACGATCCAAGATGGCATAGGATTCTTTGGCCATGATCTCACAGAGGTTCTTCTGGATGTACTCTTAGAAGAAGATTCGAAATCGCTTTCGAACAACACTTATTCCCGCTGTTGTCTATGCACATAACGTCATAAATTCACCCAAAAGCTAGTTGCTGGACTACGAGGCACATTAGCTCGAGCTGCGCCATTTCTCTCAGTTCTCTCCATTACACTCACTATTTCTTAGAATCTCTAGTTAGCCAAGCCTCGAGGCGGATCGATATAACTAACACTCATTCTCAACTCAATACGTGACAGAAGAAAAGCTCGATATATATACTAACTATATAGATAAATATATTTTTGAATATATTTTCTAATAGATAGTTCGAGCTGTACAATCAAGATGTATCGCCTAGCCCCATCTTAGAGACCTTGATTTTACCCTTAAAAGGAATTAATTGGAAGAATGCGAAATTGGATTCAAATTGGCTACGAAACACATCACGCAGCTACACTTTCGACAAGTTTAATCAAAACTATCAAACGTAGGAGCAATTAGTATCAAAAAACTTGGTTGGCTGTTTCTTCTAATCGTTCTTTCCGTGTCGTAGACCCTAGAACGGATTCCTTGTCTATTGATTTCTGCTATCAATAGTTCGTGTCAAAACCAGCAAAATATCGAGCACAAAGGTGCGGTACGTCATCATGTACTGTCCAGGAAAGGCACAGGTGAAATTTCGATAAGAAAAGAACTGGCATAAACTGCATGATGTGCTTATACTAGCCAAAAATCCGGGGAGGACAGTCAAAAGTTTGCATGATAGCTGCTTTTACAATTCACGCTATAATTCCTCGCCCCTTCTTCAAACTTCATCTAAAAGAACAAAAGGCTATCTTGGTCGCTTTGCCATTTACATTGATCTGGGCCTTAAGCAAAAGAATCGAACAACCTCCACACACACAGACAGCCCCCCCCCCTTCCACCCCACACAACCGCCCAAGAAAAATCAATAAAATCGCAAAACGCTAACTAGAAAGTTTTTGTGGGGAGACGATCAGACTATCCTACTAAGGAGACGGTTCAACGTCTAGAAGATCTTGCTTCTCACTAATAAGATTAAGAACTATTAAATCTTCAATCGAAATAATACATCCCCGCTGTAAAATGTCGTAACTCGATAGCGGCAAAAGCAATACAACGCAAACCTTAAATTTTGCCAAGATCATTTCGAAAGGTAACGATATTAAATTAAACACTATCCGTTATCAAGGAAAGCGCCTTGATTTAATTGCTTCAATGTGAGAAAGCGAACACCCACGGATTATTGATTCAAGAAACTGTCACAAAAAAACTACAGCCAAAGGCAGCCTCTAGGATTCATGAAGACATATAAACCCTAGAATTAACTGTTCAAAAAACGCTGAGGAAATTGGTATGGACCTAGGCGCTTACAAAGTCATGCCAATCTAGCGAACAGAACCCATAGCTCAACTTAGGCAGAAAACGCAAAATAACGAGTAACAAAATGAATATTAAGGTTATCTAGATGGTATAGAGTTATGAGAGTTATCTGGTAGCTTTGTAATATGAATGCGACCGATCTATGCGAGCAAAAAAATTAAAAATGATACCGAGAGAGGAACACGTAAATTTGACGTAAAATATAAAATTAGAATACTTGAACAGATGAATCAAAGTATTGAGAAGCTTTCAAAACCGCTACAGTGGCGAAAAAAAATTTTTTAAAGACCATTACTGCGCTAGCAACGGTTGGAAACGAAAATGAACCGGGTAAAAGATAATTTTTAAAAACTCACCCTGATCTGGCTCTTGAGCTGCTCGGCCTCTTGTCGCAGCTGGTCGAGTTCGCTCATGGTGGACCTGAGTCCGTCTGAATATACTGAAGTAACGTCCTACCGGTCAAGCAACATGCACCGGCGCACAACCACGCCTTTTCTATAGGACACAGCGAGCGAGACACGCGCACGGCAATCGATGTGCGCAAGCGCCGAGCGGCCCGCGACGCGGTTTTCAATGATGAGGTAGTTAGATGTGCAGTATGCCACGGTATACGGTAGCGCCTGCTGCTGCTGTGAGTCGTCGAGCTCAGTGGCTCTTTACGAATGAGAGAATAGGGGCTGGCTGACTGCTTGCTTGCCTGCTGCCTGGATGGCTGGCTGGCTGCTGAATGACAAGGGCTGGACGAATGTGGTAGACGACCAATGCCTAGCTAGCTGGCAGGCTGGGTTGGGCTAGGCTTTGGCGGACTCTGCTGTGGTCGTCTGGCTGAAACTAAATGGTGAGAGAGACAGCTAGAGAAATAGAGGAGAGTATAAAGATAGTTGTTTATTTTTATAGAAGATGAGAGATCTTATACACAATTCAGTTAAAATTATGACCAACAGTAACTGAGATAATTAAAAGTCTGTCCAATTAGTGAACTCTCTTTTTAGTTGGTTGTACGAATTTAATCAATTACATATTAAGAAATGAGCATGACAAACATGATTGATGTCTGATGTTAGTAAGCTGATTTAGTCTTTTTCCGAACGAGCCGAATGGTTTTGTTTCCCAGTTGTTTGTGTGCTGTTGACTTTCAGTAATTGACACTAGAGTGTACTTTTTTGTCAAAAAGACTTCTTTTGTTATTGGGTTAAAAGACTGAAAACCCAGGCACCACTCGTCTTGTCAGATATCGGTTGTAGCATCGCATTGACGCTTTGTATGGTATTGCTTTTCTGATCATCTAAAGATATTTGAGAATTATTCTGCTGACGACAGTGAAATATTTTCTTGCCCTTCTAGCTCTTTCTTTGCCCCAAAAACCTGCGCCAACCTGTTTGTGGCTGTTTATGGTGTCCTTTTTGCTATCTTTGATTCCTCGCAGTAAATTAAAATATTCTTCCAACCATCATCATCACCCTACCCCCTACCCAGCCAGTACTTTTTATTTTTCCTTCCTTGCCTTCAGGACAATCACATTACCATCATAAGCTCTCATAACCTGTTGTCTCTTTATTATAACAAAACAGGAAATAAAAAAAATTTACGACAAATTCGAATAAGCTCTCAAGTAACCCATATCAATAATTATAATTGAAGCTTTCCTAAGCAAAACAACAGAATGGTGATTTCTTCTATATATATATATATATATATATATACATATACACATACACAAAACGAAACCACAACCAAGCTGCTGCGCCAAGCATCACCATCGTGATCGCGATAGCTGGCTATAACCCACAGCTACCAACCACCACACTCTCACGACGAAACATTCACAGCACTTTCTGCATAAACGTAGGAAAAAGAAATTTCAAAGAATAATACATAGCCACAGTGACAATATTAAACAGCTTGTTACTTATTGTGGTCCGGGTCTCAAAATCTAAAAAGTTGGTCTGGCTGAGCGGGCTTCATTAGTCTCAGGACATATGGAGAGGAGAGAAGAGAGGCTAGGTTGGGATGAGATGGGGTGTGGTCGTAGTGGGCTGCTGCTGCTGCTGCTACTACTACTGCTGCTGCTGTTTGTAGGCTATCTAAAGAGAGAAAACAGAAAAAGAAAAAGAAAATATGAGTGACAGAGAGAGTGTTAGAGAAAATGAGAGTGGCGAACAGACAAAATACAAAGAGAAAAGGGCAGTTTTTTTTCAAAATGTGCGGGAACGATAGAAGAGGCATTGAGAGAGAGAGAGAGAGGGATAGAGACAGAGATAGATAGAGAGAGAGAGAGATAGATGTATTTGATCTATATAGTATAATCAAATGTAATTTAGTAATATGTACTTGTTTGTATGTTGTTTGAGGTTCCCCTTTAAACTATGTATTGATTGAGTTATTGAGAATATGATTGAATACAAGGTATCGTTGTGCTGCTTTGATTAGAATGAACTCTGATTGTTGGAATTATTGAGTGAAATATATGTGTGTGTGCATGTTGTATGCGTGTATGTATGTATACATGTGTGTGTGTGTGTCTAAGTTGAAAATGGAGCTGAATAGGAACATCACAAATACCATCTGATATGGTTATTAAGTATTGAGCATATGATACATGAAATGAGCAAGTGCTTATAATTCCTGTCGCATTGATGTACTCATTGAGAATGGGAGTGCCGTAGATGTTGTAGTTGTCGCAGCACTGGCTGTCATCAGAATCTTTTCAGCTAATGTCACGTTGAAACAATTCAGTTGCGAATTTGCTGGAGCGCAATGCACAGGCGTCTCCACAAGTATGCCTGCAAAGAACGTTCTCTTACATTAATATTTGCTTTTCTAAAAATTGTTTTGATCAATGTTCGAAAATGAAGTTTTATCTCATCATCAGCTGATAAAGTCAGAAGAATGCCATACATGTGGTTTGGAGGAACGATAGGAAAGACGAGCGTGTATAGCTATGTGTGTGTGTATGAGAGAGAGAGAGAGAGAGAAAGAGGAAGAGAGAAGGGCTAGGTAAAGGGAGGAAGGTTGATAGAAGGGAAAGAGATAGAGAGAGAGGGAGTTGGAAAAACGGGGGAAAAAACTGTTTCAAGGGATTATACTCTTTTCTTTTTTTAAGTTTTTTTTTCTTTTTTCGTCTTCTTCTTCTTCTTCTTCTTCTTCTTCTTCTTCTTCTTTCTTCTTCTTCCTCCTTCCTTCATCGTTTTTTTCTTGTGCAATCTTAGACCATTGTCTTTTGAGTCGTTTCGATGCTTTTTTTTTATTCTTTCTAGATACAGATTAAGCCACGATTAAGTTTTGACAAACCGAGAAGTGCAACCTTGCATGATGTTCGAGAAGGCTTAGAGCATTAACGCTTTTCCGATTTATTTTTGTTCGGTTTTTTTTCAATTGCATATTAAGCTTAAATGGCCGATAATCATCGAGGGAATATTTAATTCTTGCAGGAATGTCAAGAACCTCGTCAGTGTTTGCTTCAAAAAAAAAAAAGTTCAAATGAAGCATGGGACGTCATGCATATGCGTTCGCTTCTGACAAATGGACATTCTGCTTGATGCAGGCAACGTACGAAGAGCCTCAATAACGGGGTTCCTTCCCATACACATTCGTTCAGTTTGGAATTTTGTCATGATTGGCTTTCTAAACAATAGCCATATTCACATCTGTCATGCCTGCTGAAACTTCATTCGATTCATAGTTATACGTCGGCTGGCGGCGGCTGCTACTGCTGTCGATGCTGCTGCTGCTGTCGAGGCTGATACTGCTGCTGCTGCTGCTGCCGCTTGCGCCGACATCGTCGTCGTCGTCGTCGTCGTCGTCGTCTTCGTCCTCTTCTCCGTTGCCGTCGTCGTTTTCTTGTTGCTCATTCAAGCTATCTGTGTTCTTTTGACAATATTTTCTTTCTTTTCTTCTCTTCCTTTCGCTGCGTTTTTTGAAGCGAAAATGATGTGGCTTATATGAAATCATATAGTTTTTGAATGAATAAATTGAGAAAGAAAAAAGAAAAAAGAAGAGAGAAAGAAATTGGTTGCTGAAGAGCAATGCAGAGACGACGAACTAGTAGACGTGTGAAATAGCATGGGAATGGTTCAAGAAGTAAATGCTTACTTCCTATATCTATGAACAAAGCATTAGTGGAGAAGTTCAAGCACTTGTATATATGCTTCTTCTTCTTCTGCTAGTGCTTCTGCTTCTTCTTTCTCGAGAAGAAGCTCAAAGTCTTTCTCAAAAGCTCTGGTCAGCTACACTCTCATACTGACCGGAAGCAGTAAATGAATGACTACGAATGAGAAGAAGGATAGATTTGAATAGATATGAGGGGTGAAGAAGAAGAGAGACGAAAAAAAGAGGGAAAATGATGAGGAGAGTGAATGCAACCGTTCTGAACGTCCAAGAAAAATTGGAAAGAAGAGAAGCTAAAAGCGGAATAAAAGCTGTGCATGAGACGTTAGATGAAAAAGATATCCAGAATGAAGAAAGTAGAATACGGAATACGAAATTACGCCGAAAGGAGTTCTCTCTCTGACGATCATTTCGTTTCGTCCATCATCTTCTATTCGTTCGTCTTCTATTTTCTGAATTTTCTTTCATTATCTTTTCTGTGAATGTACATGTTCATCTATGTACATTTACATATAAAAGAACTTAAATATCTACGTGTGTGTGTGTGTGTATGTGCATGTGTCTCTGACGAAAACTTTTTCGCTCCTCTCCTCCACTTATTCGCTATCGCTTTGTCTACGATGAAGGAAAAAAAAAAGAAAGAATTTCCTATTTCTTCTCTTCTCTTTTTCTATATTTCGTTTTCGTCGTCGTCAATCGCTCTTCGTCTTTCCGGAGACGGCACAACGAGAAAGAGCAGTTCGAGGCATCACGGCTTTTGGCATCTGGCTTTCAAAAGCTCGAGTAGTTCTCTCTCTTCTGATTTGTGCTCTATCGTTTTTTCACTCTCTTCCAAGCAAGGCTTCTGCCTTTCTTCTCCTCTTCATCAAAGAGAGGGAAACAATGCGCGTAGAAATAAAAAAGGAGTAAAAGAAATTATTAATCGACTGCTATCACTTCTTACTTACTAACTCACTCACTCGACCATTGCGCCTTTCCTGTTCCGCTTTTCTACTGCCTTCGTCATCTACTTGCCAGCTGATTCAGCTAACGCTTAGATATCTTATAAATATTTTCCTCCTCCAACTTCTTCTCCTCCTTCTTCTTCATTATCATCTCCTTTTTTCAACTCTTCCATCGCTTCATAGCTGTCCAAGAATAAAGAAATGTCGTTTTCACTCAAAATATTCTAATCAGTCCGAAAGTTTGTATTTTCTTATTCGATTTGAATGAGAAATTATCCCGTTATAAGGGGAATAGAAAATTGCAAAAAGTGCCTGAGAGAATTGAGTTCCTTTTCAACCTTTTTTCGTCTCTCTATCTCACCGCCTCTCTCCCTCTCTCTCTCTTCTCATCCTCACATCTCTTTATCTCTCTTTCTCTTCACCCTCCCTCTTCGAGTTTGTTATTCTTCAGTCTCTGAATATATAAATAGCTTTAATCAATTTTCAAATTACCAATGGAATGCACTAAAAAATAATCGCAAAAAATATATATAAATATATCTATCTATCTATATACTTGTTCGCATAGCCTTCGATATGAATTTTGAAGATTCAACAACTCACACGAGAGTACTAAAAAGGCAGATTAGATTTTGAATGAGAGAAGACAGGATATTGAAGAAAGCTATTAGAAGCATCCTCTTTTAACGTCAACTTCTTATATCTCCTTCTCGTCTACATATCCGGCTGAACATACTCATAATGACGATGATCATCATCGTTGTCAGCTTCGTTATAAAAAAAATTCCAAAAAAATGGAAAAAAACTGATTCCGATGTTCATGGGGAAAGAAGGGGAGGGAGAGGGGTGGATGGATGGAGGAATAACGGCGCTCAAACTACAGCTGCAGAAGCAGCAACCATTTTGGCCACTTCTCTTCATTAAAGCAGCTCAATGATTTTATGATATATGGTCGAGAAAACATAATGGAAGGCAAATTTGGAAGCAAAAAAACTGAGAAGAAGAAGCAGCAGAAGCAGAAGAACGACGATGATAACAAAGAGGAAAGTTATCGTTGTCGCAACTTCGCTAGCTGAGGGCAGGCAGGTAAGAGATCCTATCATTGATAAGTCAATGCATATCATCTCAATTTCAAAATCGCAAGGTGTAGCTGAAGTTCACCTGGCATTCACATGCTGAACGAGATTATAACAAATCTCTTCTGAATTCGAGGCGAAAGCACATAACAAAAGCAAGAAAATTGAGATAATAAATGGATTTTCGAAAAAAAAAATTCAGCAAAATCATATGGCTACATCTAATTTTCTACAAATATTGAATTATCCAAAACTAATTATTATACGAATTCAAGAATAAAATGTTTCCTTTCGCCGAATATCAAAAGAGATTTATTAGAATTTCTAATTTAGTTATTAATTTCTAAAAACTTACCGGCTACGGTAGCGGTGAAGAAACAGCTTATGCATCCAGCTAATAAGGCTCGAAGAACAATCTTAGCTAACACTTTTTTTTTGGATGGAACCATGCCACCTGAATTGGATATAGTGAATGCCAATGCCATACTATCATAATACAATACCTAAGACACCTAATTGAATTCCAATAGAACTGAAGTTTGAGAAACCACACAGAGCATATGTTGCAATCATTGCAGAACGCGGCTGCAACATGCGTTCATCCGGACCAATTTCATTATCACAACCTTACCGTTATAAGTGGTGGCTGATGGGCGACCATTTCTCCAAGCTTTTGATATGCTATAAATTCATTAAGAGCTGTTTTTGTTCCCATCAACTGTGCGACGCGTAATGTTTCTTGATAGTCATCAGTAACACCCATAACGAAGGCCAGCGGGAAGAACAGATAGCCGAGCATAAGCTGAAAGTTGCAAAGATCATCTTAAAATAATCTGAGTCGTTTAAAAATACATAATGTTTTTTCTGTCATTCTTAATGCTTCTTCCCCCCCCCCCCTCCATCAATTACAGCGTCTCAAGTTTCACGTGAATTGCACGTTCACGTGACTCATGTTTAGTTTTTCTTTATTTTCATTTGAGAGATTGCATGGAACGGTTGTGTTTAACATTCGTTACTCCTTCATCTTCTAGAATCTTCTTTTAACAATTCTTAATTGTCTTTTCTCCCTCTCAATCCAAGCCTATATCTGGCGGTATACGGATTCATCGTTTACTGAAGCCTGACAGGTCGTTTTCCTTTCCGGGAGCCCCAGATTAGTCATTCATTTGAAGCCGGATTAGTCATTCAGTTAAGCTATTAGCAATATACGGACTGCTCTAATGAAATTTAATAAATCCATAGAGATGGGAAGCGGCAAAAAGACGAAACAGCAGACGAAGAGTAACTGAATAGAGGAACAGAGGAAAGGAAAGAGAAGAGCGAGGTTTGGTGGGATAAGAGGGGAGGCGGGAGAGAATGAAGGAGGGAAAGCTGAAGCAAAGGAAATGCCTTCAAACAATTGTTTGGTTCCTTAAGGCTAACTGCATGAAATGCGAGTCAGGTCAGCTGGCGCATTTCGCAATTACGAAAACCGTTAATAGGTTCCATAGTATGAGAGTGCCATTCAAAATTTCATCAATAGCACCATGATTTGAATTCAATTAGCGTCTTATTTAAGATGATGATGATGATTTGTATCTGATATACTTTCATCAAAAGAAAATAGTAAGCTTAAAAGGTTATAGGCAGTAATTAAGTCGTTATAGGAAACAACACATGTGGGGTTTGTAAGCTGAAACACATCAGGATAGCAAAGCAAACAAAACTATGTTCGGCATTGTGTTTGTTCGGTTTAAAAATCTCTGAGGCTATTTCTAAGTAACTGAATGAAGCCATTCCCTCGGGAGAACCAATAGATGTTTGTGGAGACACTGATTAGTGACAACTGGTTTTGAAGTTAATTGGATGTTACAAGACCAAGACAAACTATCAAGGGATTCTTTGAGACGCTCAGTTCAACGTTCACTATTCGTATACTTCACTTTGAACAACATGAAATTAGTATGAAAAAAAGAATAAGTTGAAAGTCAGAAGATATACTTTCGTATAAGTTGAATTGACATTCCTTTGATTACTGCACACTTAGCCCCAGAAAATTATTTTGGCGCCACTTTCCTTTCTTCCTCTCTCTCTATCTAATTCGTATTTTTAGAATAAAAAGTATAAATAAATCAAGTTATACAAATATTTTCTTTTCATTCATTTATGCGCCGTCTTATTCACAATCTTTGGAAGAAAATAATTTGAATACATGATATTTGAGTGGATTATGCTAAATAGATGAGAGACATTCCCACGTGAATCACGTAAGCTTCCGACATCACATCATTTACATAGATTTTTTATTTTCACCTATACAGCGCATAATGACTGGTTGCTTAATAGAGAGAGGTGTTGCCGTTAATCACGCTTATGCTTATGCTTATGCTTATCATCATCATCATCATCATCACCTTGATCACCTTTCCCCCCATTCTGGAGCAGCAAGATTAGCTTACATCTTAACATTACTAAATCGCATCGATAGTTTGTGCAGCTCGCCGGATAATTACTATCGCTTCTCATTCATCTTATTAAACCTCTATTCATATTGTCCGAATTGCAACTAGATGCTAGTTTTGTTGTGAAATCACGAAAACTAATGAAAACATGCAATGACGCTCAGTTTTGTCATTCAACAATACATGCTCTGCTTGCAAATGCCAAAAAAGGACAAGGAATGAATGAGAATGAAAAGTGGAGAGAATAAGAGAACAGACCTCAAAAGACCATCCGTCATAGCCAATTAATCCTCCGAAATAGCTGAGAATGCTATCGATGAAAGCCAGTAAAGCTAAGAAGACGATAAGATTGGCAGCAATTGCTGCTACAAGCTCAATAGCTGAGACGGCTCCATTTGAAATACATTCAAGAGCATTTGATTCTTCTCTTCAAAAAACAATAAAATTTATCGCGAATGACGTCATCATCTAAACTGACCCCTTGGGAAGTTCCAAATCTCTTACATCCTTCAGTTGACTTTCTTCAGTTTCTGGGAACAAAACTTTGGAGCAGGCTAATGAACCCGGTGCAGACATAACTGTGGATGAGAGAAGATATCTACAATACTAGCCACTTAACAATACTTAAAAGAAGTCTTCTTACGTTGGACATGCTCCAAATGCTATATAAGCTGCAAACAGTGAGCCTGCTATACACGAAAATCCACTTGTCATAATAGCATGAAGCTCTGATGACGTCATGCGTTCCAGATATGGCTTGATGAGAAGTGGCGCTTCAGACTAAACGATAGAATTATTCGTGGAAAGAATAAGAGTTCTGAATGTACCTGGCCAAGGAAAATACAAGCACACGCATTCAGAGATTCAGTAGCCGTCGTCGACAGTGTCATCTGCATGAACCTATAACGTTAGAAGTACGAAGCAGTTTCAGAGTTTCTCAGTTACCAAGCCATCTTCTTGAGAATAAGCTGCATTATGCCAATATAGTAAAGGACAGATACCACTGATCCAAAGAATATAACCACTTGTAATGACTTAATACCAGGAGATTAGATCAACTGAGGAATGACGGACTAACCGTGAAGAAGAACACAGGCGACATACCACATATGTTCGGAGGTGCTGCCAGAAATCCATAAACGAACTCCGTTCCTTAATACTAGAACGTTTTAATATTGTTCATCTTCTTCTCACCATTGTTTGTGAAATCCAAAAATGTAACAATCAAATGTGAGAATTTTTGGAACTGTCTCTTTCCCCACCTCCAGCGAAGAACCATTAAGCCTAAGCAGAATTGAAGTGCGAAGCCCCAAATGACAGGCCGCCATTTGATCGAAAAATTCATTTTGTTAAATACTGTTTGAGAAGGACGAACCTTTCTTCTATTTTTTGATAAAATGATCATGAGAAGGAGGAAGAAGAAGATTCCTCCAATCCCAATCAAGCGTCTGCGATCATTCCAAGTGTCCACTACGAGGAAAGTTATTAGAGAAAGGATAAGAACAGCATAGAAAGCACTGAAAAACGTTCAAAATAAGAAAAAGAGAAGAATACTCGGTTGACATTTGAAATCCAGGGATGCGCCATGCTCGCCTGCCTCCTCGAGAACATGGCAAAAGTAAGTTTTGTTTTATAACCTCCCCGTACCGCGGCCAGACAATCTGGAACAAACGATGAATGTACTGAGGTGAAGAGAGAGAGAGAGATGAACTCACTTCTGTTAAAATAACATAAACCCATATGATACCAGTGATTGAGATTATAACCCGAGCTTTAGAAATGTCATGAACCCCAGCGAAAACTGTAAGTACAAGTAGTTAGCTATATATCAGAGAGTACATGACTCAATACCTAAATAAACATGAAATGCTAGAATTATAATACATATTGCTCCAGCTTTTATATACTTTTGTTGATTTGTTAAGAACTCTTCACATACATGGTATGTAGAGCTCACTGATCCAAAAACTCCTAAGACATGTGAATGATTAGTTTAGTCGCAAAATCAAAGCTAACTTCCTTTCAGCTCACGAAAGTTCTGCAAACTTTTTTGGAAACGGCAATCCTTTTGATCTTGTGGACAACGAATGTCTTCTTCATTCTAAACAAGAATACATGATAACGGATCGAAGAGGGAATAGTTACGTAATTAACAGGAATATGAGTCATTTCCATCATATAAACCTTCTATACAAACATTTCTTTCTTTCAACCTGAAAATGAAAAATGAGAAGTTTCAAATAGTTCACGACAACAAATTTCTGATTCTATTCTATATTTGAACTGAAACCCGTACAGGCCTGTCGATACACTAGAAACTTGTTGTATTCCCCATTCCTATCATTATTAACAATCAATATTCCCACAGAAGCGAAACAATGGAAACATAAAAAAAGGATATTCCTATATATATATATATATATAAACACATCGCCCATCTGTACTCCATGATCCCCAAAAAAATCGACGCGCAAAACAAAAACTGATGATGATTACAACTAGAAGGTCACAACACTCAGCTATCATGAAACTGTTTTTCAAATGCAGACGGAGAGCTTCTTTTAGGAATCTTTTTTCCTGAGAATACACAAATGAGAATACTCATACAACAGCTTCAAACTCAAACATTGTTCAAAACAATGTGTCAGCTTATGCCGGAAACGTCTCAAATCCAAAACAGTCCTCAATCTGCATAGATTATAGAATATGGTGGGGGGCAATAAGGACAGTCAGTCACTCTCTCAACACAAACTATAAAATGAGACACTAACCAGCTTATGGCGAAATTGAGAGCAAGTATTCAGACAAAATTCGAATATTACGTCAAGTTGAGATTCGTTAGTAAGGCATCAACTGAAAATAATTTTTGAAATTGTCAATAAAGGCGCTTGTTGACTTTTTTCATTAATATCTCCATCTCTTCTTCACAATCAATGAGTTAACAAAGCAAATATGATATAAGGCAAAAAGAATCTCAATTGAATTTTCATTAATTCGAGAACAAATCAAATTCTCAAACATGTGTGCGTTTATCATCAATTTGCAACACTTATCAATCTGAATGATCGTATTATCCCAACTAATTGGCAAATATATCAAAAGAAACGGTTCCGTTTCGTACTGTCTATCACCAACCCAAAAAACTAACTGCTTAAACTCTCAACTGAACTCGTCTTATATGACAAACATCAATGCCAACTTCTACAGATATCGGGTCATAAAACTATTAAGCCCACCTTATACTCGTCATAACATAGAAATTTGGTAAAAACAACACTGACTCACAATCATTCTCAAATTATTTACATAATCTCTCAATATAACTTTGTTCTCTCCCTCTATATATGGTTGACAAATGACATTCTAAAACATACTCACCTTTTTTGTCGCTCAACAATGGGCTTATGTTCTCTTTTGAACCTCTTTTTCACTGTAAGTTCTTGTGCTCAACCTATATCCGTCAACACAATTCAAACTAAATATGGCGAGATTAATGGACTAGACATATCGCTTGGTAGAACACTAATCAAAGCGTATGAAGGAATACCTTATGCTCAGCCGATTAACTCTTCAACTCGTTTTCAGGTTTATTAAAAACATAATATCTTTCTTTGTTCTAAACAATATATATTGAAGAAGAGCGAGATGGTTTTACCTTGGGATAACGTACTAGAAGCCAATACCAGAAAACCAACATGTTACGAAAGATTATTATCCGATGGCATATACTCAGAAGACTGTTTATATCTTGATATTTACACTCCGCCGGAAATAGACAACGTAATACCAAAAAAACACTAATTACAGAATTAAAAATCATCTTTCAGTCCACACTCTTACCTGTTGTTGTATATTTGTCAAATGAATTAGATAACACCGGGATGAATGATAATACGTTGGCTTTCCGTATTGTTCCTCAAAATATCATTTTGGTTGCTGTACAGTACAGGAAAGGACCTTTCGGTAATCGATAGTCTATAAATAGAGGACTACTAACTTGAAAATAGAAAAGGGTCAAGCTCAACCGCTCCCCACAAATAAATTTTTAAAAATGACTTTTGCGCGCGCGCTGGCTCTGGACGTTTACCACGTATGTTAATTTTGATTTCAGGCTTTTTGCATGTACCAGAGCTCGATTTGCCGTCCAATGTTGGCTTATGGGACTCGAACTTGGCACTGTTATTTTTGCAAGATGTTCTTAGCGCATTTGGAGGGGATCCTAACAGAATAACATTGATGGGCCAGGGTCTGGCTGCTACTCTGACTAGTGCTCATGCAGTCTCTCCACAATCAAGTCGTATGGTTTGTATCCGCGAATAGTTACTACAAAGTTTATTTACAGACTTGATATCTCAAACTATACAAATGAGTGGAAGCATTTGGGGTATTGGAACAAGCCAAATAGCTACTAAAGCCAATTCGAGAGAATTGATTACTTCCTTGAATTGTCCGATAGTAGATGATCAAGAATTCTTGGAATGTTTGCGAAATTTGACAGTAGAAGAAATACTTTCAGAGACGGTAAGTGATTCCCTCCATGTCTACTGAACTCTCAACTGTCTCTAGGGAAACATGACGTTCGGCCCTATCATTGATGAAGAGTTTCTTCCCGCTTATCCTCAAATACTAGTCGAAGAAGCCAAGCCTATACCAAGTCTCATCACTGTCACCACATATGGCTATCAATCACGAGGTTGATTCACGATATTCGAAATGTTTCAAATGACTCATCGATTTTAGAACTGTTCGCAGCTTCTCCATCATTTTTCTATGATTTCAACAAGGAAAATTTAATTGATTATGTTCGAGATCAAATTTCTCCGAAGTATGAGAACGAGTTTCCACGAGCTGAAAAGGAAATCTTCAAGCAGTACATTCCTTTTAAAAACATGACTTCCACGCAGCTTCTCTCGCAATTTGTAAAAGTTTGTTAAATGTTCGGGAAATGTAGAAAGATTGTTCTCGATTTAGCTGATTGAAGATATCTCTTCGTTCGTTCCAACAGCACGAGAACTTGAACACAGGACGAAAAGATCAGCCGAATGTTTCTTGATGTTCTGGGATTATAGCTCTCCAAACCAGTTCCCCTCTAACTTCTCCTTGAAAGGTAATGCATATATACATTCAATCCCCTATCAACATACTTTGAAGGAAGCTATTATGGACAGGAATTGGCATACCTCAGCGACTACTTCGCTTTTTCCCCTTTCAACTTTTCCGAAGATGACTTGACGGTCCGAAGACTCTTTGTGGATTCTCTCACACATTTCATCAGAACAGGGTAATCCATGGATTTTTTTCTTACCAAATATCTCAATGGATTTAGTGATCCATCAACAGCTGATTTCAAATGGTCATCATACAACGGCAATCAAACGTATCTGAAAATGAAACCAAATCCAGAAATAGATGAAGGTTGATCGTCCACGCGACAAAAAAAAGACATTAAAGAAACAATTTGAAGATCTGTTTGAGACATCTCTATCCTTCTGGAATCATATGAGCAAATTCGGAAAAGATATAATCTCTGGCACGAATACGGACGTGGAAAATATGGAAAGTAGCGCATCCAACTTCTATTGTAGTTTAGCATTTTTGATATTTTTGAATATTTTATTTTTTCATTAAATACTGATCAATCAATATATACGGTTATATTATAAGTTATATTGCAATATCCCATAAACATTACTTGGTTTACACGTTGAATTTGACTGAGCTAGGGACAACCTTCTGAGAGACAACTGAAACGAGAATGAATGGGTTGAACAGTCAACATGGGATATGATTACGAACCTTCTCGGGGTTGCATTGGCATGACAGCGTCCATCACTTTAGAGAGAATCTGAAAAGTCAAAACATGAATTAGCTTTTCTGTTAACATCATACATTCTGAACATCGATCTCATCTGGATCAGTTTCCTTTCTGTACTTTTGAAGTTTGTAGAATTTGCGTTCTCTTTGCTTGGCTTCAATGTTTTCAGCAATTTGAATAGCTTCCTCCTCTGAAACCCCACATGATGATATTTGAAGTTTTTCAAAGAAATGACGTACTCAATGCTCTGTTAACTGATCGGAAATCAAGAACCTTAGGTTTCATTGTGGTGGTGAGGGTTTTCACATCAACTGTTACTGGCTGAAATATAATTCGATTAGAATCTTTTCACAAAACGGGAATGACCATAAAAGGAGTAGTGACTTCAGCGTTCTCCTCCATGTATTTTCCAACATCTTCTCCGGGCATTTCGGCGGCTGATACTTCTTCCTTGGATTTTGGACTGCTTGAATCCTTGCTTACATAATGAGCGACGGATCCTCTATTGATCTGAAGTGAGGCATTGGTTCAATCATTTGTCAAACGAACTAACGTGCTCAATACGTTCATAAGAGACTTGGGCTGGAGGCAGGGGGTTCAATGGTTTAGGAGAAGCAGTCACAACAGCTGGAAGAGGAGCTGGAGCAACGGTTGCTACTGGTGCGACACTCTCTGTGTTATCAACTGGAATAACACCATTAAAGGTTTGTTGTTGGAATCCAACAGTTTGTGGTTGTTGGGGTTGGGTTTGCCCGAACTGTCCACTTGAATAAATTGATCCACCTAATGGTTGACTTGCTGATCCTTGCTGTTGTTGTTGCTGGTATGGAAGAAGATTCATCTGTGGGAATGGTTGGTGGAAGAGTCCAGGGAACTGAGGTAAGCCAAACATCTGAGGATACTGCTGAGCTTGAGCAGGTTGTTGGAAGAAGTTAGAGATAGCTGGTGAAGGAGCTGGAGTTCCTAAGTTGAACAAGTTGGGCATGGAGAAGCTTGTCATGGATGATGGAGGTGAGAGAGGTTGGTTGAATGATGGGAATGATTGAACATTGGAGAATGTTTGAGGTTGAGATTGAGCTCCATTCTGTTGTGGGAGCTGTGGGAGTTGTCCGAGCCCATGGAGTGGTTGGATTTGGGAAATAGAAGGTGGAGCTGAAGGTCCCTGAGACGATTGGGAAACTCCAGCAGCTTGTGGGTTACCAAATCCAGGTACTGGATTACTCAATTGGAAAGTACGGAATGCTCCGAAATTGGGGTCCAATCCAAGTTGTGGAGTCTGAAAGTAGAAAAATTACATAGAATCAAGATCAAGAGGTTTATAGAGATTAATAATCATCACAAAGTTTCAGTTTTCAAACTGAAAAAGAAAACTGGAAATCTCGTTTGGTTCGAAGTTTGCATAGCTCATATGTTGGATATCAGCTACGCTTCTTCATTGTCAAAAAATGATATAATCACATGAGACATGTAGGAACTGCTTTGCTTATTTTCATTTTTCAAAAAAAAGCGCGGGGAGCGGTTGCGCGTTGATAGTTCGGAACAATTCATTAAACTCATTATAAAACTGTTTTCACCTGGAATGGAGAACCAGCACCGTTGTTGTTTGTTCCGAGACCAAGAGGATTAGGACTGAAACAGTAGAGATAAGATGCTTAGAAAGAAACAAGGAAAACATCCATACTTGAATTGTGGCTGTGCTAAAGACGATCCCAGCAAGAAACAGAAAACAGCTAACTTCATGGTGTCGGACTCTGAAAACAAAGGAGTAGAAATGATGAATGATAAAATGTAAAGTCAATAAGGCGAAAGCCCAATGAACGACGATCTGATGCAGCTAACAACGGGTCTTCTAGCCGGATACGCGACTACTGTTCTTCGAGAAGTTAGGATGGACAGGCGTGTGTGAAGGACAAGGAGAAACGGGTAAGACAGAAGGAATATGATAATTTCCATCACCTGGAACGCTATATCAGCATTCGCAGACAGAAAAAGGTGACAACCGTAAATTATGAAGCTTCCGTTGTAAATAGAGAAGGAGACTACATGTTTCAAGTGTCGCTTGTGAAAAAAACGAGCTATTATATAGCTTGATGTGAGATAGATCGCGGTGAATGGCTGATACATGAATGAAGAGTGTATCAAGATATGTGGACGTCTCCACAAAAAGAAAAAACAAAGATTGTTGGAAGATATTAGGACGTAAAAGGCTTCTGTCAAGACACAGAAGAATGTGAATGGCTTATAAAGAAGCTAAGCTTGATCAGGATTGAAGGCTGAAAAGCAAACTGTCACTTCATCCACAAGCCTACCACATAACCACACATCATGGTCTTAAAGCAATTCAAGCAACATTTCGGGATCTCATTCTTGATACTCATCACAACTTTTACTGCTTTCACCAACTAGTTTAGTATCAACAAATGAATTGTACAGAGAATGTTCCAAAAACGGACAAAAGAGAAAAAATAAAAATCATATCGCGCTTATAAATACAATAACACACCGATGAGGTGTTCGGTGATGGAACAAGCTGAGAACTAAGCCTGTCCTTTGTGATGCTTCTTCAAGCCAACCGATCCCGGCTTGATCGAGTTTTTTCGGATTGACCACTGACAACTTGCCTTTCCAGAAGCCACTCCTTCCAAGGTTGAAAATTACATGGGATTTATCAAAGCTTGACTTAGTCATTGCAAAGGTGTTTCACTTGTTCAGCACAATTAACCAACTCGGACAAAGCCAATCGATCTGTTTCATTCTAAACTCGTTTCTCATCCCTTTCAGGTTTATTTTACTCCGGAAAAGATACAATGTCTGAAAATAAAATATGCCTATCTTCAATACAACGCCTAATTTACCGCTAGTGACCCTTGCGAAATCTGGTTACTCCTGGGAAGAGAGCTCAACTGGAAGCCGTTCACAGGCAAACGGAACGCAAAATTTAAAAAAAGATTCGTTCATTCTAAACTAGAAACTTATTATAGTTAATACTTGAGTAACCATTTCACCACTGACAAAGAAACATGAAGAGTTGCACTGAAAACGATTGCGCGCTCCATTGCGAATTATTGGGTACGGTACTTAAGATAATAGTGACTTGAGCAACTTGAATTCTCATCACTTTAACTATATTAATTTATATCTTTCCACGGACTGTGCTCTTACTACTTTCGTATTTCAGATGTCTTCTATTCAAACAGCACACAAGAAATTATTGGAGGAATGGTCCAAGAGCAAGAAGAACATTGCCGGCGTTGAAAGCGTTCTTTCGCAAATCAAGGTTCGTTCAAGTAAAAAGGAACACCAACATCATACAAGCGTTCAGGAGCTTCTTTCCGATGGAGCTACTGTCTCTTCTTTAGATGACAAAGCTATCACTACTATTCAATGGTAATTTGAACATTCGTGAATGGAATTATGCTTTAATTTAAGTGATGTATACGAAATCTCCGCTCTCCTTCCCATCGTCAAAGAAGATATTGAAACCTTCAAGGTAGCTATTGCCCAGGTACTTTACTTCTCATGATCCGTTCATCAAAAGTTTATAATAGGTTCTTTCTTTCTACGCTATGAATCCTGAAGCTAGTACCAATAAATACTTGATGATCGGACTCAATTTAATGTCCTTACTTGCTATGGGTAACAGACTTTCTGATTTCCACATGGTAAATGTCAGTATATTCCACCTGAATTAATTCTTATTAAGCTTCTTGAACAAATTCCTCAAAATATTCAAACTTCTGATCCATACATCTTGGCTCCTGTACGCTTGGAACAGGCCATGATGGAGGGAGCTTACAATAAAGTTGTGTTGACTGAAAAGAATTTCCCTAGCCCATACTATGAGATGTTCTTCAGAATGATGATGGATGCCGTGAGGTATGAGTAGTACGAATATTCCTTCTTCATATTCTCATTCAGAATAAACATCGCTACTTCTATTGAAAAATCATTCAGAAGTCTTAACGTTTCTGACGCAACTACTCGTTTATTATTCGACAATGAACAACAAACAAAAGCTTTTGCGGAATCGGTAGGCTTGATGTCATTAAAACGCTTTTAATTTCTTTTTGTTTAGCGCTCTTGGGTAGTAGAAGGAGGCAGTTTCGTCTTTAACTTCGAAGCTCCTGTACATGAACACGAGTTGGATACATCTTGCATTACTAAGCAATTGATCTTCTACGCCAAGCAACTTGAAATGATCGTCTAATTTATTCCCTTTATTTAACTTCATCATTGTCGAATCTTTCCTAAATAAATTTTTCTGTACAATCCCTCCCAACTAGCTCAGCAGCAGCAGCAGCAGTAGCACAGAACGGTTGCATTCATTTGAGATCTTAGGACTGTGAGCAGACATTATCAAAACAGAATAGTAAAACAGTTTTTATTCTTGATAAAGCCAAAAAGACATAGAATCTTCTTCATGATGGAAGCTGAACTAAACAAATTCATAATTTGATATGTGGGATGATTATGTATAATCGAGATCATTAAAAAAGAAACCCCGAGAATTTTAAAACGACGACTTTCGCGCAACTATTGCTCATTCAGAAACAACTTATCTCTTATTGGGACGCTCCATGTGGTTTACAGAATAAGGGAAGCAACTGAAACTTTCATACATGTACTTGGTGATGAAATAGATCTCACAAACCCCTCTTGCTTGCTCTTGAATCGAAGCTCTATATCATATCTGCGCGAGAATGGTGATTGGTACAAGCCAATACCGATGCTATGGAAACTTCTGCTTTCTTCAGTAGACGGAGAACTCTATTATATGGATCCTTTTCTGATGCTAATAGGTAAATGAACCTACCTTGACTGGTAACGACTCGAAAAAATTTCTTTTCTCCATATTATTATTAATCTTGACGACAACAGTGAAATCACAAAAAGGTGGTATGAACATATCTTTCAGGTCTCTGATCTTTGAAAAGTTATTGAAATCAAAGTGAGAGGATGTCTTACCCCATGACAATCATCTGGATTCATCCCACAGTAGATAGATTCAGCATAGTCTTTCTTAACAATGCAACGCATAGGTCCAGTCTGAACAGACGGAGCTCTTCAACCGTTGAACTCTATTAACAGACTGAGATGTTGTCTTCAGGCATCAACAATTTGATTTCTCTCTTAGTGGGTGTCCTTCCATACTTTCGGAAAAAGCATACAATAACTTCCAACTGCGTTTGATGTTTGCAAAGAATTCTTAGATCTTCCACCTGAGCAAGATTAGTGTCTCAGTAGATGTACTCAGATGTTCACCTGCTTGGGGTACTGAAACAATTCACCCAGATCCTTCATATACTCATTATTATCATGAGTTAATTGCCAATATATCACAGGTTCATAAGAGAAGTGAGAAGGATCCATATCCTATAATGAAAAGAATTGCAAAGATCCCTGCCTATGATACATACCCCGGGGGAGAAGCAAATCGGTGACAACGACCAAGAAACCCAGCATTTGTACATTCGGTTTTCACGCATGCGGAGTTTTTTCAAAGTCTGTAAGTGGAAAACGATTGTTGTACGTATTGGATGACTAAAGATTCACCGATTGATCCGTATAAACCAAGCCGATTTCAGGAGACCACAACTTATGCTTTTCATTCAGAACTCGATGTGAGATGAAGTTTGGTACAAGGAATAGAGTGGCTTCCACCTAAACTCCAAATATAGCAGCAGCAGTATCAGACACTAGCTGACCATCACAGAGCTATCAGGCCTCACTACGGTTGGGATTGGACTCTCAATCTTCTCGCTCTGAAAACAAGAGAAATGCATAGCTCAAAGACCAGCAGCATACATTGAAGAAGTTTTCGTCATCCATAGTATTGAAGTATAACCAATCACCAAGTTTATAATCACTCCATTCCCTTGAGCATACTAGTTTACCGGCTGAAGTGAAAAAGAAATAGAAACCAAATTAAATTCACACCGCCAACAGGGAGACTCACAATCTCTATAAATGGTCTTGGAGTACAAGTACATCTTTTTCTCCCTCCTATTATCCGACTCCGTACCCCCGAATTTCTCCACAACTATTCCTGAACAGAAGTTTTCGCTGCAAGGTGTCCGTGGTCAAACCAAAGTTCCAGTTATTAAAGCCTGGTTTGCATTGTGCAAAAGGGGAACGTAAGTATCTTTGATGTCCTAACATCTGTAAAGGAAACTGCATTTGAAACTGTGCCTCATCTCTGACAGGAGATGCCAAAACATACAACGATAGCGGATAGTTATGAACAGGACGAAAACGTAAAGATTTTATTCCAACAATTTAATCAAAACAATGAGCATCTGAAACCAATATGAAAAAAGGAGAATCACAGAAAAACAAGGCAACAACAATTCATGCACCAGCGTAATAAACTTTTCTTGATAAGAGCAGAATAACAGGGAAAGGGTAAAGAGGGAGAAAGAGAAAGGAGAGATAGAGAGAGAAGGGAAAAAAAGAAAAGAAAAACTAGATGGAGCAAGATGAACGGGGATTTATAAGTAACTATAGCATTTTATGATATGATATATTGACTCTGAGTCATGTAACGCTCTTTAGAGATCAAGGATGAGTAAAAGACTAGTGTAGGTTAGCTAGCCGGAAAGACTTGCCCGTATAGGAAAATTCATTAATTTAATATTACACTTTCCCTTTCGGCCCCGTAACGGAAATTTTCATTTGCATAGTACTGCGCAGAGTCAGGATAACTGGAAAGTTCTTTTTCATAAGTGTTCTTTGTGCTTTTTACATACCGATATGTAAGGAAATCAGGTTTCGCTTGTAAATCCAAATATGGCAAAGCTACTAACTTCCTCTCATTAACTGTTACTCGATGAACCTTAATGATGTGATTTACGAGCGTCACTTGCTCATAGCATACCTTAGTAGGGTCCATGGTGACAGTGGCATCCTTAGCTTTCGCATCCTCAACTTTCTTCATGAGAGATTCCAATGACGGAACCAGTGACATCCAGTCAATCTGTTTTTTACTTTCCGAACTCGTTTCTTCCGCTGAAGATGACATAGAAGATGTTGGTCGAGAATCCTGAAAACACGCAACAACCTGAATTGACAAAACAAACTTCGTAAATACCTCAGTTGATGCAGTTTCAACTCGCGATGCACTGGGTTCTTGTTCTCGAATCGGTGCAATGCGAGGGAGGCGTAGTATAAGACCACCCTTTCTTTCCTCTGGTGCTGAAACAAAAAATTTACATAAACAACAACTCGGAATTCGAATGCGAACCTGGTGTTGAACTTGCAGAATTTGAAACTTCACTTTTCTGTCTCCTCTCGTATTTCCTCTTCTTTTTCTCTTGTACCCCCACCACCACACTGGGCGATACGATTTGTTGCTGAGCAAGAAAAAATTATTAAAGAAAACATATTTGAAGAGAAGTAGGTTAGCTAAGTATGTCACAATGGTCATGTTTTATCACCAATTGACAAGTGGAACAGAAAAGAAGCGATCAAAAACCGAACTTGAACTTACTTCTTCGTCATGTTGTTCTCTTTTCACTTTTTCCTCGTGCTCTCTGATCGATGAGTCAATGCTCATGTGCTCTGGGAGGTTCTGACTGAGTTGAGCGACCTACGACAACAAACATGTTGAATATCCGATTATCGTCTTTCTTACAAGCTCAGTAGTGCTTTGTGTTGCTCGTCTAGCAGCAGAAACCGAAGAAGTACCGGTACTATTGGATAAACCGCTGGCTGTTGTTTTAACCCGTTTTAATGCTGGACCTCCTGGAGAAAAAACGGGATAAAACAAGCTCATGAACAGCTACAAACCATCTTCCAACTTTCTTTTGCCATTTCTGCCATCCTCTCCTTTGCTTAATAACTCTGCTCCCACTGACTGAGACTTATGAAGTCCACCATTAGGAGAGTTCAAGACTTTGGGTGCATAGCTTCCATTAGCTGGAGAGACTGTTGTGCTTCGCCCTAAACAACACGAGCTGAAAAGATGAAGAACTAAGCTACTAACCATTTGAGAGACCCGTTGAAGTGACTCGCTTGTTTACTGGAGTAGCAGGCGTTACTTTCCTTTGCAAACGAGCAGCCCCTGGTGACACCAAGTTGGGAGTAGCGTTCGCAGAAGAGGTACAACTGGACCCCGACCGCACCTGCTGCTTCGAATATGAGACGAACGCTCATGGAAACAGTTGAACAATACCTCAACTAATTTCTTCCAATGTTTAATCAGTGAACGACATCTTTGAGAAACATCTGGCCACTTTTCCAGAAATCGTTTCCTAACATCATTTATCGTAGCACCGACCCTCGTTGACTATAACATGTCATTAGAAAAGTTTCTTTACTATATACTTTTATTCTTTTCACTACATATGAATAGTGCATATATAAATATATACATATGACAAAGCCTCAACAGAATTGTTGAAGCATGTATTGATCTGGTAGAAACAGACGGTCAGAGCACGATAGAGACGCATACACACCAATTGCTGAGTATCTCAGTCTGGCGGTGTACGCCTCTAGCGAGCGCCGGCCATCTCTTACGATTAGGAGATACACATGCTCACCTCCAAGATTTCCTTGGTGATAGGAGCCTTTTCCAGCTCTGACAGGACGTCACAAACATTCTCGTAATTGACCTGAAACAACGAGAGATTGAGTAGGCACAGACAATGTCGAAGCCCCTCATCCCTTTTTGCCATGTTTCAGGGGAAACAAATTTCTAGATTAGGTTGATTATAAAAATGACACTTGAGAAACACCAACAATCATAGGCAGACTTTATTGAAAATCTTTACACGAATCATAATTATCAAAGAAGATAGCTAATCGTATAACTCGCTTTCCCAGATAAATCGCGCTTTTACACAAGATCAAATTTTTTCAAATATGCTGTTTTATGCTTACATTCTCTATTGCGGCAAGGAGTTGCTGCTTCAGTTGATCAACAGACAGTGCGCAAGTTGTCATCGGCACTGCCAGCAGGACGTGAGACTGAGATGAGACAGCAGCGCACGCCACCATTCAGATCGCAGCCCTAGCAGGCGTCTACCCGCGCGCGCACGAGCAGCCGTTTATATACCCTCTGATGGGCGGTGCGGTTGCTGATTGGTTCCGCCAAAACACTCGCGTCTCATTGGTCGGCCAAAGAGCAAGCCACGCCCCAAAACCGCGCGCGCCGCGTCGCACAGCGTCATGTTCTGAAATGGTCCAAGGAATTTGCATTTTACGCTGAGCTTGAACGGTTGCTTTTTTGGGGTGCATCAGAGTTTTCTTCGAAGATTCAACATCTCAAAATAACGAGACAAGCGGAAACAAGACAACAAGACATTCAAAATCATTTTTCACTTCTTTCAATAGAGGAATGACGAAATCACGAATGATGACTAAGTTGCATCACAATCAGTGATTCCTAATTTTCTTTTTGCTTCTCACACATTCCGGGACTGAAGTTGTTGCTCAGCAATTACATTGCAGTTGCTAAGTTGCCATGACAACGATTTACTCTCTGTTTCTATCTGGGAGCGGCCTATATTCCTATTCTGAATATGGGTGATGTTGGTATTGACTCTAATCGAAAATCCAGAGCTACAAGTTCACGAGCAAATAGAAGAAAAGCTATTTCTTTAGCTCCTGATTCTAGCGAGCAGAATGCGGACGGTTCAGGTAGACTGGTTGTCATCACGTAAAAACGTTTCTTGATGTTTATAGAAGGCAGCGAATTGAACATAACTGTCAAAGATAGAGGCGCGGATGATATGGGGAATAGAAAGAATCGTATCGCGGCCCTTTTCAAGGTAATAGTGTGTGAAAACTTCTGATTAATTCTCACCAAATTAGGAAACACCCATGAAAGGATTGAGGGAAGGTGCGGCTGAGACACTGAAAAGACCCTTAACTGGTAGAAAAGAATTTCATAAATCCAAATCAAATTATAATCAGGTTTATTCCGTCGGCCAGGCTCACGTGCCGGTAGAAAGAAAGAGGGAATGGAGAGTGAAGATGCTCCTCAGTCAACAACAGCGTCGACGTCTCCTTCTGGCAATACCGCTGTTCAAAATTTTGGTTAGTGTTTACATGATGGAGTAGTAAAAAAATCTTTTTTTAAGCTGAGACATCATTCCCACCATCAGCTGGAACATCAATGCCACGTGTGGAATATGATGCTGTAGCTCGAGCCCCGCATATAACTTCTGCACAGCTACAAGGAATGCTGCAAGTCGATCATTTTGCGCAAAAGCATCCGCAGATAGCCAAATTGGATGATATAGGTAGAGCTGTTGTTATGTGGCTGTTAAAATCAATGAGTATTCAGACATATCTTTGTTGTCACGTTACCTGTGCTTAGAGGATGAAGTGAAGGATGAAAACATAGCTTGGACTTGGGATTACCTGTTTACTTCAGTCTCCACAGAAATGCGAGAAGAGTGGGCTCAAGAAGAGACTGACATTGATATGATGTATAAATAAATCGTAATATATTGAACTTCTCCTTACTAACCCGGTCTTCATCCGAACACTTACCATCACACACGCTTTTGAGAGAATAACTTGTTGACGTTTTCTAGAGTTATGAAATAGTGACTCAACAACATGAAGATACGTCCAGCAATTTTCTATCGGAATCTGCTGACGCTAGCATTCGCCTTATTTGTCTTTTACGCTTTTTATCGAATAGTAGCTTATGACGATGGTAATCATGAACACTTGCGTAGACGACAAAAACATCTCTACCTCACAGTTTCGAAGGATAGGTGAGAGAACCTTACTGCTTCCTACTTAACTGATTGGTTTAGGATTGAATCTCGTCTCCCGACTTTGTCGCCCAAGCGAATTTTACTTTGGACGCCAATTTTCGGATCTTATCCTACAGGCGTATTAGATGATTGCAAAGATTTTGTGGTCGGTTTAACTAGGTCCCCTCTCATATACATCCTGATGGCCTTTATAGGATCGCTGTATTTTTGATACGGATCATAGTCGTATTGCTATTGCTGATGCCGTTGTTTTCCACAGTAAAGACATAACCAGTCGTCCGTTTCCGGACCAGAATCAACGGAACATGTGAGAGCCAATCCCTTCATGAAAACTTAACAAATTGTTCAAGAACTCAAAAATATGTTTACATGTCCATGGAAACACCTGAAAACAGTGGGATGTATGCTGTTCCAAATGAAATCAAATCATTGCCTGGTTTGGTCTTTCTCATATTTTACCTTCGCATAAGAGCCGTTTTAGAAAATCTATTTAATTGGATAGCTACCCCTCTGCTTTCTTCGGATGTTATCTTCAAATATGGATCGTTCTGGATCAAAACAGCTGATGCTGAGAGAAAAGGATTTCGCATTGAGGTTTTTATGAACTTCAAGTCCGCTCTCAGTGTAATGGAATGTTCTAGAGCTTCCATTTCGATATAGAAAAAATGGAAAAAAAGAGGAAAGGAGTTTTCGGATTGATTTCCAACTGTAACACAGCGAACAAACGAGAGAAAATAATCGAAGCCCTCAGCAAGTGAGCTATGATGTGTTAAACTACAATGACAATCCTTTTTGAAGACATATTGAAGTTACTATTGCCGGTAAATGTAAGAACAAGCCTGAGTATGCGGAACTCTGTCCGCGCGGTAAGGACTGTCGAGAGCTTTTTGAGGAATATCCGTTCTTCTTTGCAATTGAAAATTCCGTAAGTTTTCAGTTTTCGGCACTAATGACGTTGAACATCATAGGATTGCCGCGATTACGTGACTGAGAAGTATTGGGATCGTTACAAATACGTCTCCATTCCTATTGTGATGCAACGATGGGTTTATGAAGGAATGTTAGTTTTTGAATTTGCCATCGTAAAGGGGCCTGTACGTGCACTTACAGGAACGCTCCTCCAAAATCCTTCATAGCCGTTGACGATTTCAAGAACATTAACGAAATGGGAGAGTATTTGAATCATCTTCAAGGCAACAAGTGAGATGCTTGACAAGATTGTCTTATCTAATGATATGATTTAGGACCGCATACATGGAATATTTTAAATGGCGAAACGGAGATTGGACTATTGCACCCTGGAATTACCCTGGTTATAGAAACGGATGGTGCAAACTATGTGAGAAACTATGGGACTCGGACAACAGTACCGATGTTTCTCAAGAGAGAGTAAGCAATTACTACGATTGCGTACCTAATGCTATATAAACTTTTCAGATTAAGAGCGTCTATGAACATTACACTAAGGAATCCCACTGTGATGTTAGCTTTACGGAAAAATGGCTTAGTACCTGATTTCCCCTTATTTGCTTTAGTATGTTACTTAGAGCTGAAGAAACCATTTCGATCACTTGCTCATAGCATTTACGGGACTTTAATTTATTTATCTTAGTTGTACATTGTATTTCCGGAGATTGTTAATAAATCATATTGACTTAGACGATATACATTGAGATCAAAGTTTTAAGGCGCTCCTAATTATGTGATTGTTCGCAGCGTTGCTGAATTCCCCCAAATGCTCTCAGAATCTCTATCCGCAGATGTTAATCGCTGGTTTCTTATACGTTCTATGAAGGCGCCGGGTGTGTTGTTCCTATCCGGTACGCAAGCAAATGCTGAAAACGTTTCCGTTTGAGCGTGTACACGTTGGAAATTACATGAAATATGGACAGGATTCGGAAGCCGCTGGATATTAGGTTCCATTTTAAACCGCTTTCTTCTACATATGATAGTGGTGGTAAGCAAGAGGAGAAGGCTAAGTGCAACGATTGAGCCAGCAGTGAGCATGAGCAGCCAAGATGGTAGATAAGCTTTGAGCGTCTATAAACGACAGAAGTTTATGTTTGAAACATGCTTAGATAGCGCAGACCGGTTTCCGAATCGAAAAAGCTAATCTTTGACTAACCTTTTCAGAATGTGTAAGGCGGGCTTCAGAAACTTCATCGTTTAAGAAAAGAGGGCTTGGGGAATCATCACTGCTGGTAATAAGACCGTTTTCATCATTTCGGGTAGGCCTTGTTGTGAACGTTTCGAGAGCTATACTCATAGTATGAGAAGGAGATATTGGCGAATCACGTAAAGTGCTCTTCTGCTCTTTTTCAATGGGATTGGACTCGGGTACATCTGAAATAAACTTATATATAGACGTTCCAATTTATGCTTTCATATCACTCAACAGCATAACATTTTTACAGAATTTCAAATGACACCCGTTCTATATAAATACACGGGTATCATCTCTTGATGAACAAATTGTCACTTCGCGATTGATGAACCGTCGAAAGTGCAAAGAGAAGACTTTAAATGGTGTACAGATATACTTCTATGACCTTCACCATCATTCTCTCTTGTTTCAGTCAACCGACCGTTCAAGCAGACACTACTAACGTTGATAAGAGAGCCTCTAGCCAAATATGAAGGAAACACCCACCGCTAAGTTTACGGCGAGATAATTGGTTTATGAACTGATCAAGAAGCCATTCCTCGTAACCACCAAGTTTACCGGGAGCGGGAGCTGTCCCATTGGGGGTGAAATTTTCATTATTCTATAAAAACAAGAAACTATAAGATATAAATTGGAATTGTTTCTCACTCTTTTGATAGCAACTGAATAGATTGCTTGACGTAAACGATATCTCATATCATCCATGGAGCTCTCAACGATTTGCGAAATTATGTTGTCAAAAAAAACAGGATCAATCTGCAAAGATGGAATTGTTTATGTTTGGTTGGGATAAAACAGATTACCTTAGGATCACGGTTTTGTATAATCCTAGCGCATGTTAGAGAGAATAAGAAGAAGAGCAACAACATTCTGAAATTATGAAAGAACTTTGACTATTTAAGAGCTATATGCAGAAGGGGCTTTACTGAACATTAAATTCGGAGTGATCGAGTGATGTTGCATGAAACAAAAACAAAAAAAATGGAATGACGCAAATAAATTATAATTGGAACTAATTTAATAGAGCTGAACATTTTACGTTGTTATAAGTGTTTGGATGAATTATTAATGCTGCTTACCTGTAGGTTGGTCAGAACTAGTATGGCAGCCATCTTTTCGGTAATTCTTTGAAATAAAGCAGCTGTGATGCTCACGCAATATGCCAATGCTGTTCAAACAAGGATGATGTGTAAACACTGCAGCAGATGACCATTAATTGGCATGAAGTACTATAAAGTGCTAACAAACGCATTATGACTTATCACTACTTAAAAGTAACTCACGACTATGAGGTGAAGGCAATAAGATCAGGAACAGGTGTTTACATGCTCTCATTTTGAGAACAGGCTATCTCAAACATAACACCATCATGACAGTACTCGGGATTTACTTTCACGAACAGCTTCCGCTTTCTTTCATTTCATTATTCTGACAGATTTTCTAAAATGAGAAAAATCATGAAATGTAATTGCAAACAATATTAGTAAGCAACCGGTCACATTCCACCACACGCTAGAAATGAACGCGTAAGAATTACGTGGAATTAGCATGTCCCGTTAGGCGCGAGAAAATAATTTGAAAATCTGATAAACAATTGGAGATCCGGGAACTAATTGTAAACAAACACACAAAAAACAAATTATTTATTTAAAAAAATGTTGTTCTGAACTAAAAATGATGTAATAAACTAATTATTATTATTAAAGTACTATTACGACTTGAATACCGGTCAAATGAAATTCTCCTTATATGTACAGAATGTGAAACTTTGAAGAAATCCTAGTTATTTCGGAAAGCTATGCTCTAATCATTTCACTGCAAGGGCTTAACTCAGCGCTACTAGAGTTAGAACAACACACGAGAATAATTCTTTGATAAAGAGACGTCTCAAATAGCTGTTAGAACTGCTCTCAATAAAAAGATCATTCGAAAATACAATTTTTGATTCGAAATATGTTAGACGATCAGTTTCTTCTTTTGTTTTCATAGAGCACAATCACGGATGTTAATTGCTTTGTAAGCTTCAGAAGGATGGAAAATGCTGACAGAACCAATTTCAATTGTTTCTATGCAACCACGAAGTCCCATTCCCATTGTGAAATTGGATGGGTGAGAGCCTAAAAAACACAAAGAAATTAACTGATTTCTCCCCGTCAACACGTTCTCACCGATATAAAGAGAGTTATACACATTCAACTGTTCTGAGCCTTCAGGAGCCAAAGTCGTAATCGGGCTTTCGCTATTCAAGGAGAGAGTTATATGACGACGTTCCCTGCAAAGAATAATTCTCAGATAATTCAGGAAGAAGGAAGTGTACCGAACAACAGAGACAGAATTCCAGCGGCCAGGGCGAACAACAGTAGGATGTGTGAGTTCAACTAAACCAGAGCCCAAGTTGGCCACAAACTGCAACAAGGAAGATTAAGCTACTGCCTGGTTACATTTACAAAACCTGGAGATCCCCATTTGGAACTACTGAGAGTTTGAAGAAATCTCCCTTGGCAGGATCTTCGCCAGCATAGGCAAGAATCTGAAAGAAAGCAATAGAGGTGTTCACATCACTTTTGAGGAATAGATTAGTTGCGAGTATGGGGGCATAAGAAATGATCACGCTATACCTGAGATGATGGTCCTTCTTCCGAATAACTTATATTATCTAGACGGAAGTCAATTGTGAGACGAAGCCAATCTCCTGTTATCCTAAAAACATTAAATAAGCTTCCTTCTGACACAATTGCACCCACTGATTCATAACTTTCTCATTGTTAAGCTCCAAATAGGAATGTCCGTTAAAGTTCATGGCCGTGAGAGCCTCATTAGCTCCTTAATGGGATTTAGGTTTAATCAGAACGAAGCTAATCCACAACGTACTTTGTGAACAACGTGGACCTTCGAAAGGCCATTGACATAAACACACAGCTTGATTGTTTGAAACAGAACATGTTTGGGGACACTTTGCTGAAGCGCAAGGATCCGTTCCACATTCGCGTATTCCATTGACAGCGTGTAATCGTAAAGTTCTTCCATTTAAATGAATCTGAAACAAGAAGAATTAGTTGATGATGAAGATTAGAAATTTAATTTACATGCTTCATGCATCCATGGAAGAAAGGAAGTTGTTGATGAGTTCCTGGTATTGTGTCATCCGTTCCGGCTAGCTGAATCCAACCAGCATCGCCCGAAGCTGACCCAAGGGATTTCAATTCCGATTCCACCCAAGATTGGCGTCCAACCTTCAAACAAACTTAATATTGATACGATGTTAATATGGCTGCACCTTCATGAGAATTCCACGACCTGTTCGCCAAACTTCTGCCTTGTGCCATTGGTTCAAGCTTACAACAGACTCGGACCTGTAACGAGAAACTGAAGTCAGAGAGAATCGCAGTAATTTGTCTTCAAAATATTATTTTGCGAGAGGAAGGTTGGAATTTCTCTTTGTTCTGTGGGAAGGGGAAGAAAACCGAATGTTATTGTTTACTCACACACTCACACACACATACACACATTTCAGTCTTTTGTATGGAACATTCCTCTCTGTGACTTCTAAGTCAATTGTCTTCAATCGGAATTTACACGAAAAAAAGCAAAAAAGTGTATGGCTGTTGCCTCTTTACTGCTTCTTCGAGACAACACGAACAGCGAGCTCAAATTGTGCCCTTTTTGGAACAAGAGGATATCCTTGCAGACGATTTTAGAAACATAATGAGTTCGAATAATTGCTTGCTTTCTTTTCTTGCTCACCTCAGCAGGATACTGTCGTCTCCCATACTGACTTGAAGATTGACATATCCTTTTTGCAGATAAACAACCAAGTGCTTCGCTCCTGAGCGCCAATAAAACAATATTCCTGATTCCATTGTCGATCGGAAATGTAAAACAAGCTCGATTCTGTCCAATATGTCCCAATTAGCCTTCTGGCGAATCCAAGACCGTCCAGAGAACTCGGCTGACTCAACAACCGGTGAGCTTGGTGGCTTGAGCTCATTTTCATACTCCAATTCTGGTGGCAATACATGAATCAAATCTGGAAATCAGCCTAATTATTGGAGGCAAAAGAACGAAATTAAAAGCTGACGAAGAAGCTTTTATATTTGAATGAAGAACGAAGAGAATGAAAGAGGAAGATGTCTAACAAGCCCTGGAGGCAAAACGGAGAGAGGGTTTCATTCATAAGTTGGGGGAGAAACAACAAAACTAAGCTAATCTGGAACCTTTGTAAACAACACTTCTCGCTCTTTCCATCCAAAAGCCAAGAACTCACAGGTCGTGGGAAAACGCTCTTTAATGAAAAGTTTTCGGCCACAACCGCACCTCTTTGTATCTCTAACAATCCAAAACAGTCAAGAGCAACCAAATGGAAATAGGGAAAAGGAAATTGGATATCTATGTTTTCAGAAATCAACATGGGAAACATGTGAGAAAAAATAAATGTTGAAACAAATGTTTTGGCTAACAAAAACTTATAAAGGAAATGTCGTTGCATACGTAAGAGAGGAGAAAACCATACCTGATGTCTGATCGTGTAGTTTGTCGAAAATGGATTTCGTTGCATCTGTTGTAGTTGATGGAGTTTCAGTGGTTGTGGTCGTCGTTGTTGTAGTGGTAGTAGTTGTAGATGTTGTTGGTGAAACTTCTTTCAAAGCTCGACGATTGACTTCAGCTAATACACGTTCTGAGACAAGATTTTCAATAAACATCCCCGAAAATCCATAATTGATAGATTGAATTATGGGTACAGTTAACAGCAGGAATACAATAGGGGATGATATAGTATTTGAGATTATCATCTTCGTTTTTGTTTGTCACAACTCACAGAAGGAGCTATGAAAACTGAATGAGCAACTAGTTGAAAACGGAAATTGAGAAAAGAACAGGCTCAAAGGCTCGACGGCTCCGCCCTAAACTCAGCTATTTTGCCAGAAACCTTGGCTATTAGGGCTCAATCCGCTGACAGAGATGCAAATTCCAATAATACTTTTGAAGATTCAAGCTTTTCATTTAAAACTTTGGATCATTCTCGAAAGCACCCCATGTTTGGCCAGAATAAAGGGCATACACACACACACATACATACACTCCCTATCACGCACATGATGCTATTCAACGTGGTCTACGTCAGATTTGCGTGGAATAAAAAGCCACGTAAATCAGTTCGTTTTTCATTTTTTTGTAGACGCGTCAGCTTAAGCGGTTGTATTCTCTATTTCGTCTTCTAATTCTCCTCTGCTGAACTTACGAGTTCTTTTCATGGATAGTAGTAATTAGAAGCCATAACCCTTATTCTAAGCAGGCACAATTGCTTCTTTACCGTCTTAGCGAAGAGGAATCGTGAGCGAGAGAAAGTGAAAAAGGAGAGAAAAAAAAATTGAAAAACTTACTATTCGTTGGAGGCTCCGTTCCAGTTGGAATGTTATATTCATCGATTTCGATGGAATCTTCATCCAAGTCATCTGTTGAGTGTGGGTTAACACCACAGTATACTGGAAAACAGCTTGATAATAGATAGTGTTATGATAAACAGGACTTACGCAATTCATTAGGATTCATTACTTTGTTGATTCGGTCAGATGAGCAGAGCATCAATTCGCCATTGATGATCAGCTGAGGAGAAAGATTAAAAACATTTTTCTTTTCTAAATGCTCACTTTACGGATACATCCAATGAATCCATTTTTCAAGCCCGTCTTCTCTTCTAGATTTTCGATATGATCAGGTACTCCACCCACGTACATTCCTTTGTCCATTGATATCCCTTTGTAGAACTAAAAGTTAATTGAACGTTATCAGTAACATTGAATTGAGCTTCCTGCCTTGAATTGCTCCGTCAAATCCAGCATTCGGGTCTTACGGTCTGCTCTCATTTCAGTTCGATCGCAATTTCTAAAAAAAAGAATTTTAAATTAGGAAATTCAATTTGCGACGGGAAATTACAAGTAAATGTGAGAACAAACCTTCGCCAAACCGTCAGATTGTGCCATTCAGCGGGTGCGAACGGGCCCCGGTAGACATCTTCAATCGTTCCCTCACCACAATCATGTCTGAACGTTAGTTGAAAATGGTTTTTGTGGACTAAAACTCTACCTGAAAACCAAATTAGGCCCAACGATTGAGAGCGACAGGAAATCATCTCCTTTGAATTGTCCGGCAAAAAATAAAATGCCATCTTTTTGTTCGGTAATCCTGCAATTATCGGAATAGTATTTTGCTCCTTCTCTCATGTAATGTACTTGAATTCAATTGTTATGTTCGTTTCCAAATATGTCGATTCAATAACGGGGTATTGGGCATAGTTCTTTCCATGGAAAGCCAAAGGACGTCCTCTAGGCAAACCTTTGGCAACATTCTTATCCAATCGACGTGAACTCTTAGTTATTGTCTCGGATTTTGTTTCGTTCACTGCAAACACATACAATTTCAATATATCTTGTATGGACCTCTGTTGAGGTGAGGGAGGAATGAATATTACCTTTGCAGCTGATACCATCAGCCAGCAGATGATGATCATTCCAACAACCGCACTCATATGTTTCTGGAGAGATTGTCAGACAAAGCTGTTCACAGAGCACCGATTCCTGAGCACAAGAGCCTTAAAAACATCAAATTAATCCAAGCGTTTATTAAATTACTACGTAACAACTGGATGTTTTCCAAAATACAAGTACGACATGTAATCTTTTCAACTATTTTCCCGCACATATCTTTTCATATTTCTTTTTGCTATTTTGGCACACCGCACACCCAGACAGACAACCTCTCTTCTTGCATTCCCTCTCATCCGCCTGTACTTCCTGCGATTCGTATCAAAAATCTTTTAGAGCATCCCAAACAAATGGTCGGCTAGAAATTACTTAGGAAATGCCAAATATGTAATTATCTTCAAGAATGGGCTTATATGAACGAATAGCTAAATCATCTGAGATCTCATTATGCTCAAGAGCTTCGTAATTAGATACAGATGAGATGTTCTCTTAGAGATATATCAACATGAGGTCAATAACAGATTTTGATATTAATTTTTTCCCTTCACAATTCATAAAGCATGAAAAATCAATAATCACACTTTGATAATCAATAAACAGTATTTTGAAATTAGAATATGCATCTATGCATACGTTGCATAGACACGCGCGCCATTTATTTTTTCCGTCAAATTTACGTGGAAACATTTATACGCGTCAATACACGTACAAGTGATCCTAGGTGAAAGTCATGCGTAACCGAAATTTCATTTCCAGTACAGTTGACGTCATGACCGGTTGGTTGCATTTTATTTTTGAATTCTTCCGTGCAACTGCATTATAATTAAATTAATTGAGATAATTCCATTCATACTGCACGTGGTTAGAAATGCCAAAATGGGGGTGACAATCTACTGGTCAATGAGACTATGGGCATGTGTATGTTTCAATGTGTGTGGTTGTTTCATTCCCGATGAAAAAGCTGTTGGAAAGCTTAAAAATGCAGCAGCGTTTTGTAGTTAATACCCATATGTCTTTAATCTGCCAGACAATATAAGAGTTGATATTGAAACGATTTGTCAAGTTGCAACTCAGAAAATGTTGTCTTCTGGGAACAATTTTTATTCTCATATCCAACATTTTTCATTGATGTCAACACAGTCGAATTATCGATGACAAAGTGTTTCTCTCTCTCTCTCTTTCCCTCTCTCCCTCTAAAATCTGCATTATGATAGTTAGAGAGAGAGAGAGAGAGACAGTCAGAGATAGAAGCCGTGTAGAAGGAAAGAGTAGCCCATGTCCATTCAAGTCTTTTTAAAAGTTTGAAAGAGAATATCTAATGAGACCATGTAAAACAATTCTTGAATTATGCATGATCAGCATAGTTAACGCATTCTGCTCAAACCATTCTCATCCTTTTTTCATTCATTTTTTGAATGACAACACCATCATCATAGTGGGAGAGAGACAGAGAGAGAGAGAGACGTAGAAAGAGACATAGAGAGAGAGAAGGGTTTGCTCGTAAGTGTGTCCTTCAATCAGATCTCAACCATAATTTCAAGAGAAAGGAATTTAATTATTGCAAACAAAAAAAACTTTTTTTTTCTCCATCAAAGCAAGTGGTTTTTGATTTTTTTATTCATTTTGCGTAGCCGAAGATGGAGTGGAGAAAGTAAAAAGGAGGTTTTATCATCCGAAAAAGGGTAAAAAACAATGGCAAAATCCCTTTTCCTTCCTTTTATGGAATGCATTAAGCGAAAATCATCACGCAAATTGCAACATCGCGTTCATATACTTCTTATTCTTCTCTTAATTCCTTCCAAAAAGGATATTACGAGAGGCTTTTGGCTTGTTTAGTGTGGAATTAATAAGAAGAAATGCTATTCCCTATTGACAAACCCGACCATGACATGAGATTCTTCATGTATGAGGTCCCTAGTAGTCCCCCCCAACCCCCCTCGTTTTCCCACCTGCTTATTCTATTTCTCCTGGACTCATGAGAAGATAGAGAGCAAGAGAGAAGCGGGGTGCGCAGAGAAAGAAAATTCATGAATAGAGAGAGAGGAAAGGAGATCAACTACCTCTATTGATTTCATTTTCGTTTTATTATTCTCTGTCTCTTTCTATTGCTATCTTGTAACGCTGCAACGAGAATTGAGAGGGAGAGAGAGAGAGCGCGCAAGAGAGAGAGAGAGGAAGAGAGATGAAGGTACTGAAATCTATAGAGAGAGAGAGAGAAAGAGAGAGAGAAGATAAAAGGAATGGGATATTAGGAAATATGAGCAAAAAGCATCAAAATCTTGGCTCATGTCAACAACCTTATTTAAAAATTTATTTGAAAGCACCAATTTGTGTCGACGAAAATATGAATTTGTATCTGATGACCCTACGAAGTGATCAACTGGACGTCAAGGAATTAGCAATGTCCATCTTGAAGCGAATCTTCTAGCGTTTGAATAAGCCTTTTGAAGACATAGAGGTTAATACCCTCTACTCCATCGTCTCCCTGTCTCCCACCAACCAAGTAAGGAAGGGATGAGTTTAGTAAAAGCGAATTGTAAGCAAGTAAGTGACTAATCAAATGCAAGACCAATCTCAAAAAGTCTATTAAGAAGACGTTTCATTAGCTTCTTCCAAGACATTTTTACGAGTTTTTGTCCTATCCTCTATCTCCATCTTCTTTCTTCTCCCTATTTAGCATTCGGGGATCTTACCTATGTAAGCTTGAAAGGAAAAGCTTTCCGTCTCACTAGCCATTCTGAATGTTTGTTTATTCTATTCCAAACTTCAATTTACTTGCAGTCAACTGGTTGGATGAGTAGAGTTTAGGTCCCACGAGAAAATAGCCAGTTCGTACTCTCTTCGTGCGATTCCTTATGGAGCTAAGGCTACTCTACGATGGACCAAACAAACTAGGACGAGATGGAGCGAGAGATTTAGAAACGAAACCCTCCAAAACATTAGAAGGTTATCTGCCTGCCAATCACCTACATCAACGAAAAATTTCATTTTCGTCATACTTCTTTCATTTCTTCTTCCAGCTCGACGAATAACGTGAACACAAAGCTTTAAGCCTATTTATCGGATTAAGCAGCCTTGGAGGATTTGACTCTTTCTTTTTTTGGCCGCAGGGCCCGAAACATCGTGGACTTTTAAGGAGATAACTGCAAAGGAAATGCCCTCAAGACTTTCAAACGAAGCTTTGTTCTCTCTCTCTCGCACTCTCTTCCATGCCATATCAGGATGGAGTGAGAGATGAAACATACGTGAGCTTTGGGTGTGAGGGGAGAAGTAGCATCCTACAAGAATTAAGAAATCCTCTCATATAGTATTAAAAGGAAGATCAAAGCGCTACATTGACAAGAAATACTTCATCTTCGGAATTTGTATGCAATAGACGTTCCCTTGAGCAACGAGTTGTAATAAACCCGAAAGCTGTCAACCGATGACTACAATCATGAAAATATTCGGAACACATCAAAGTCTGTTGATGCTCATCATTCGAAGTGATGAAGGACACAAATAATTTCTTCAAATTTCTCTTCTTCCTCATCAGCAGCGTATTGTATCCTTCAATACCCTGAGGGTGTTCGCAACTTGGACCAAACAAACTCATTCGAGCTTCCAAATGTGTTCGCAAAAACTTTTTTTTGCCCTCTTTTCTCTTCCAACCGAAAGAAGCTAATGATATTCAGCTTGAATTAGATGAGCCATCTGGTGCGTTTTGACATATAAGGCGTGAAGTTGAGGACACCACCGCCGTCTGTGACCCAATACTTTTCAAGCAGCAACGTCATACTTCATCCCCCAATTTAGAATGAAACAAAAAAAAAAGTTTTTTTTCCCATCCTAAAGTTTCGGACGTCACGCCATACATGTCAAAAGATAAGTTTAAGATGTTCTCAGACACACGACGAGCTTAATCCGTCGGCTTTTAAGCTTAATCTTCATTTGATCACAATGTAATAAGCATAATGAATCAGACTATTGTCTTATACGACCATTTATGGGGATTATGAGAAATGCATTGGTTAATTGGCATCTGTTCATCTCATTCGCACCCCTCCATCATCCTCACCACCAAATGCAACATCGCCGTTTATAACAAATCGGCTCGAAATTTTCAAAAAAAAAGTTAAAATGAGACGAGCAGTGCAATGTAATGGAACGGAAGACTTACAGATAACGTGACAAAGATCAGGAGGGTACAGACTATGTTCGCTTCAATGAATGGCAAATACATCAACTTTACGCTCTCTTTCCTTTTACGGAAGAGACGAGAAAATTGTAATTGTGCATTGGCTGGAAATAATCCGTACCAACCATCCTTCCCTTAACCAGCTTTATCTTGTTCAGTTTTCCTCTCTTCATACTCATTTGCAACCTAACAGACAGATCTAGTGGATAAAAGAGAGGAGGAGAAGAAGGGGAGGGAAGGGGAAGAGAGAGTAAGAGACAAAAAAATGAAAAGGAAATCCCAAATATAGCTAAATGGTTTTTTCCGGCACACACACACTCGAGGACCTCCTTCATCTCATGTAATTGACGGAAGGAAATGGAACAATTAGAGTTCAATTAGAGGTGGTAAAGCTCTCATTGAACTTCATTTAAAACCTCGACGAAACTCCCTGGCCATATCTACAGACAGAAACCTTCGTTGGCTACACAAATCTTTTCGAAAAGAATTACCTTGACTAGTGCACAAGTAAATATTTGTTTGAAAAAAAAATTTTTAAGTTAGTGAAAAGGGATAGAAAAAGGAAAAAAAAGCATTTCAGTAGAACCTTTTCATATGCAACTTCCATCTCCTTCTCTTTCTCTCTCTCTCCCTCACTTGGTTGCTCTACTTGCTCTCCTCAAAGACTTTTTGTAGCTCTTCCTCAATTGTCATCGTCATCCTTTTGACCCCAGCAGAAACTGCATAAATGGAAAATGAAAACAAATAGTCGACAAGTTGATTTTGTTGCGAATCGAAGACCTTCTCTCTTTCTTTTCCATTCGAAACGTCTTGATAGAATCATTTCCGTGACTTTCCTGTCTTCATCTGTGTTAGTCAAAGGCCATCTGTACTCCTTGCACAGGAACTTCTCAAGGAGTCAATGTTGAAACTGGTTGAACGAAAAAAAGCACAAAACTTTCGAATGTTTGTTGACAATATTCTCTTCTCACGACAAATAAGCGAACGAGTTCATTCGTTTCAAACTTCTCAATTTGCCAATGAATATGGGATATCGTCTCTTGGTGGTGAAGGAGAAACAAAAGTGTTCGGCAGTCAGAGAAGAAAACGAAAAAAGTCGTCTCTGTCTGCTTGCTTGCTTGCTTACTCCAACTCCTACAAATCAGAATTGCCGAATATGTAAAAGATTTGCCGTTCGTTGCAGACAATCTGGCTTTTCCTTCCTTGCGGTGTGTGCAGAATGAGCAAAAAAAAAAAGTTGATTTTCCACAAGAATTTTCAATCCTACATTTATGACAAAATTCATATAATTTCAATTAAAATATGACAAGCCATAGATCACATGAAACATTCCGAAGGTTTCGCCATGCGCTCAGAGAGTTTGATGGACTGCTCTCCCTCTCTCATCGTGTCTCATATCCATATGGAGCAAGCAATAGGGAGAATGTTGAGAAGAACAAGTCCATTGCTCAGTCGAAGGTATGAAATTACTCACATTGAGAAAAGCGAGAGCTCATTTCATCTCAAAGAAACGCATAAATCAGCTTGCTTTGAGGTCTTGCTGCAAGACGCGTAGTCGATGAAAAAAATGAGAAAATTGCAAAGTAGTCGAAATATGAAGTGCAGTAGCCTGAGGCGAAGCCATAACATTTAACAAGACTTCAAGTGCTTCATCCACACATCTACCACGAGCTCTCGCCTCTCTTCTTCTCTTTGGCAGAGAAGAAAAAAAATTATTTTTCAATTGAAGCCCTTGTGAAGACGAAAAGACAGACAATTGACGATCTTATCACTAGTCTCCTGCAGCCATGGCCCTCTCATGCTCTCGTCTCTCTCTCTCTCAAACATTTTCAATCAAATAAGAAGTATTTCCAGAACGAATTTGGAAATAAAAAGAGCAAATCAACGATAGTTGGTTCAAATAAAATAAAAAGTAAAAAACGGATGACGTACCTTGGAAAACGACAGCATCGGCAACATTCAAGAGCGAAATCAGAAGTAGAGAATGTAAGACGACCAGTAACGTCATCATTCGGATATCAGAAGTTAGACATCAAACTGAATAAGAAAAATTCAAAATAACTGAATGTGAACGAGGTAAGCGAGACAGAGAGAGAGAGAGAGAGAGAGAGAGTGAGCGAAGGAGAAAGTGAAAAGAGCTTGTCATTCGATTACTTGGAATGAAACTTCGCGAATTAGGGTCTATTACGAGGGACTAAATGAACTACAACGAAAAGACGTTTCTCTTCAAGTAAAGGAGTTGCCAGTGCTGTGTTGCATTTCCTTCCCTGTTGCGGTTGGGGCAAATGAAAAATTGGCTTCAACAAAACATATAATTTGCTTGTTTTTGCTTCAATCAAATCTCTCTCTCTTCCAAATACGATAAATAAAGTATTTTAATACAATTGACGAGCATATCTCAATGAAGATGAGCAGCACAAGCTGCCGATACATGTATCAGCTGCATCAGCAGCCAGCAGTATAAGTAGATGAAGAAGCAGGAGATAGAGATAGATGATGACGAAATCTCATTAACGTTTGCTTTACTTCTGAAGGAGGATTCGCAACTGGTATTCAAGTGAAACGTGATGTGAATTGACAAACTTCATCTCCAAAACCTCATAAAACATTTTCCACGAAACATGTGCCACAAAAAAGAGACGACAAGATGAGAATCAAGAGCGCAACATCAACACGCAACCAAAGACAACAAAAATTATCAAAAAAAAAAAGAAAAACGAAATAATCAAACTAAAGCCTTGGCGGGGCACAAAGTCGATTACCAAAAATGATATGTTGTACGTAATTTTACGTACAATTAGATTTTCTGCGAACCTTCTTCTCTCATTTGAGTTGAGTCTAACCGCAGAAAGCGTTGTCATGACAGACCTATTGATCTTAGCCACGCCTACTTTTTTTCCAAATGAGGCAAAGTAGGCGGGCAACGTATCGAAAGATATTACTTGACTATATACATTATGAGAGAGCATTAGAGAAGCGAGAGTAATGCAAAGCTGGCATTCGGCCAAGCTTTTTGTCAATTCCTCTAACAATTCCATACTATTTTATGTTCAAATATGTGTGCTTCCTGTCAATCTACGACAAGACATATATGGAAGATACTCAAATTACTTGTCATAGTGATATGGCCTTATGTCATCTCTTGCACGTGTACAAATGAATTCAATTCTTCCATACAGAAATATTTTAATATTTATCACTTTTTTTGTCCCGTCTCTCCATCCTTCAACTTCACTAATAACAACAAATATGAATATCTGTATAGTATCTCCCTCCTCTCTCTCTCTCTCTATACCTTTGTACCAATGGCTGATTGCACATATAGATATATATATATGAAATACTTCCTGCTCAACAGCTACTTATCATTCCCTTTCAAGCCCAATTTACATACGCCGTGTGTTGCTCCTACTTCTGCTGGTGAAGCCACGTGAAAAAAATTTTACGTGGAATACACGTCTGACAAGCCGCTGACGTATTCAATTTAATTTCATTTTTGCAGACATGCTAAACGGTTGTGCTTACTTCCTTCATTCCAATTAAAAGATATTACCAACCAACAACATTCACATAATGTTTTATTCAAAAATTAAACTGTTAGTCTCTATTATTATACAAAGAATTAAATAATTGAGAGAGAGAGAGAGAGATAGAGAGCGGAAAAGGAAAAAAAAAGAAAAAAATACTGCAAGATATGAGGATCAAAGATCCATGTACAAATGGAATATACCCGTATATATGCTAGAAATCTCAAGATATTTTTCGAATAAAATAATCTCTGATTCAATATTTCAAACAATTCCACAATTTTTTGGAGGAGCATGAAGGCAAGATGTAGAGAGAGAGAGAGAGAGCGAGTAAGAGAGAGAGAGAGAGAGAAGTTCCAAAGTATCTTCTCTAATCCAACATAAACGTCTTGCTCGTTTTATCATTTGAAATATGATAAAAAATGGCATAAAAAGCTATTTTAGTTTGATTCATGAGGAAGAGGAAGTTGAACAAGAAAACACTCGAAAAATGGCGCGAAATGAGCAAAAGGAAAAAATTTCTAGAGAGAGAGAGAGAGAGAGTGGATGAGAGTGATGTAACTCTCAGAGGTGAACTTGATCAGAGAGAGAGAGAGTTGAACTCTTGGGATGATGAAACAAGTTTCTGATAAAACTATGAGATGACAGTAGATGTTGGAAGGGGGGGAAGGGGTGGATGGGTAGGAAAAACGATTAACATAAACAAATGAGAGAACGAATGAGTTTAAAGTCGTTTGTGCCTTGAACATGACCATGTTCTTTCTTCTGTAAAGATTTCAAATAGTCTTTTTGGGGCGAATTAGTCCAATAACGAAAGTAAGAGTACGGTAATATGTGTTGTCATCCAATAATTATCATTATTTTAAAATTATAAAAAAAGGACATCAGGACTAGTTTAAAACCGGGAGAAAGCTATGGGCTGTGCTGCTTTTGTACCGTACCCGTCTCAAATGCCTTTAAAGGGAATGATTGTGTGGAGATGGACGAGAGCGATTTCAAAGTTGTCCACCAACATACACAGGCTTATTAGTGTAATTATTTGGTAGACATATTTTATTCATTTTTAATAATAAATAAAAAATGAAAATGGCCGTCGTTGTGATTGATGAGATTCCACCAACCACATAGAGCTGAAATGAAAAAAATGCGAATCTAAGAGAAACGGTTCATAGTATGACTTACCCATCCTTGTACGGCAAAGCAGCATTCTGTGCTTGTATCTCCGCAACAATGGTATTCATGGAACATCGTTGCTTCTGGACACTGAGTGTGTCTGAAGTTAATACGTTGCGATTCAAAAAAAATCTATTAAAGCTTGACGTACTTATGGATCGTAAAGTTTCGGCACCACTGTCCGAGATGTTTCTCTCTCCAGTTTCTCGGTTTTGGACGAAGGAAGTGACCATCTTCTTGTGTGATTTCTGGCCAAATGACCATAGCGCTTATGAGGATGGGCAACGATATGAACACAGCCGTACGAAATATCATTCTGATCTTCAAAATTTCAATATTCACAATTCAAATATATGAAAAATTATTAAAAATAAAGGCGAGACCAACGAGATGAAAGAAACAAAACGTAACAATTGCCTTTTATAAGCAGTGGTTGGCAGGTTTGCAAACAATGAATGAAGAAGTTCATGCAGAGAGACAATGGGACGGAATGTAAAAATTCTTTAAGAGAATGGCAGAGGAACGTTGGATGACGAATAACATCGTTATGATACCCACACTTCCATAAATGGACAACAAAGTTGTTGCTGTTCCAAAGCAATGACCACGCGTTTCTTCATGAGTTTCCTCTCTCAATCTCATCGTGGTTAGAGAAATTGAGAAAAAGGCAAAGGGAGGGTCGAGACGTTAGCTGACAAACCGTCGTTATGCTTCATCGGCTTTCACATCAACCATCCCGTTTCTGTACATTTGATAGCCGAAAGACGATGGGCTAAAATGCGAAAGAGAAAGAGAAATACAGTGCGGATAGAAGAGAGAGCTTGCGGATTCATCTAGCCTTCCGTCAAGAGGACAATATAATTCTTATGCTGGTTTGCGGGTGGCTGGCTGGCTGGCGCGGGCTGGCTGGCTGCTTCTCCGTCTCCGACAAATTACGCCGTCGTTATCCACCACACTCTATTGTCTTGTCGAGATATTCTGATAATTTTGAGACTACACTGTTGACGAACAAAGTCCAAGTGCAAACGATCAGCCGATACGGATGAACGAAGTTGATCGAAATTGGACAAAATTGACGACACATGGATCCTTTTGTCATCTGCGTACATTCGAAGATCAAGTGTGCCAAACGTGCTTGTACAGATGCAGCAAAAAAACAAAATATATTTCATCCGAATATTATGAAAAAAAGAAGCAAAGAAGATGAAGCAGTCAATCAGGCATTGAATGAGAAGCCGTAGAAGCGATGGAACGCAGATTACATGCGATGTATGGATTGAGGTGAGACACTGGTTTTTCATGCGTACCTGTGTCCATGTCCTTCAAATTTGTAAAAAGTTGAGAACAATATATAAAAAAACATATTCGTAAATGGAAAATAATTAAAAGAAGGAAGAAAGTCTTGGCAAAGCAATAAGATAAATGGAATCGGATAACATTAGGAGGGGATGACAATGCGAGAGAGAGGGTGACAGACTTTTCTAACAGGATAAGATGAAAATGCAAGAAAATCTTAATTGAACGAACGAAAGCTTCATCTAACTTGAGAACAAGGCGTTAAAATGCGAGCGATCGAGAGAGAGAGAGAGAGAGACAGAGGGAGAGAGAGAGAGAGAGATGATGTTCACAAACCATGACTGTTACGTTTCTTCTAAAAAAAGGTTCAAAATAGGAAAACTCTACACTTCTGTACACATGATAAGTCAAGGCGAATGGCGACGACGTATAGTTTGATTCTTTCAATTTAACAGAAACAAAAAAAACTTCAAAAAGCGAGAAAGATGTTACTTTGACGATCAGAGAATAATTGATAGTCCGAAGGCGAAACGGATTTTACTTTGGGCCAATCCATTCCGTACAGTCTGAGCGAAATCTTATTGGAGAAAAGAAACAGATTTCACAAAAGAACATCAGCTCATCTCACAGCTGGATCTCTCTTCACCTCATTTGATTGGTCTTTTGATTTGGAAATTCATCTGATTAGCTTTTGAATGACAAATTTAAAATGAAAATTTGGAGAGATCCAAGAAGGAAGAAGATGAAGATGAGAAAAAAAAATGGAAGATGAAAGAACTGAGAAAGCTATCAGAAGAAGAAAAAAAAAGATGTTTTAACCTAGAATGGGAAATAACAAATGATGTGGAGGGAGTAGATGTTTCAACTTGTTGGATAATCTTTAATGCTTCTGATGCGCTGCATGCAAAGAGGGAAAGGAAGAGAGTAGTACAAGTTACGAGAGAGGGAGAAAGAGTATGAGTGAGACAACGGCTAGCTGAACAACAGGATTTCAAGAACCTTACAGATGACTTCGGGGCTTAAAAATCTATAAGCTTTCCACCTCATCTATTTCCTCGTTTTCACTTTTCATATGGTAAGATGGCCAAGCAGTGTGAATGTGTGTGTGTGGTGTGTGTGAACGAACAAGTTTTCAACACGAAAAAAAAAAAAGGAAGAGAAGCATCTGCAGGAGAGTTTACAGAGACGAATTGACAGCAACACACAATACAGAAAGAATTACATCTCAGAAAGGAAGAGATGACAGACGAACAGAATGAAGAAAAAAACTGTTAGAAATCTGAGCGGTGACGTCAGTGACAGCCGAGTAAAAAAGGAAATTTACAAAATGCCAAATTTTAGACAAGTTTATAAACGAAAAAAAAGTCAATTGGGAGAAAAAAAAGGGTCAAGCAGTAGAAAAGAGATAAAAATTGATAAGAACATGTTAAAGAGTAAAAGATTTTATGTCATCTGAAGACGTCTCTGCTGAAGACGCAGATGACGACACGAGCGGAAGAAAATAAGAGAAGATAGGATAAAGCGATGACAATCCGTAGGTAGATAGCCTTGGATTGATGCGTAATTGGCCCTTTTTTTTCTCATCATTATTACTTTTATGGATTGTCCTCGTTACCTAACCATTACCCTTTTCACTTTTAACATGCACAAGTTAGAAAATGAAGAAGCTGAGAACAACATCTTGTGGGTGTGGGTGGTGTATGTAAGCCAAAAACACCCGGAAATTCACTTTTACGACGTTTGCCCATAAGCGTGCCAAAGATGATGATGATGAGAGGCAATGAATGGGTGTGTGTGTGGGTTGTGACGCTTGAACGGTATGCTATAGATCAAGATAGAAAGATCAACAAAAAATATTTGTGAGTGGACAATAGCAATTCCCGGAAACGGTCGTGATTTAATTACTTTAATTAAAGATAGTTTAGATCAATACCTTGGGGTCAGTCCCGTCTATTGACTTGACCCTTTCAAACATTAAAAATCACTGCGTTCATCCACAATGAGATTCTTCTTCATTCCATAGTCATCAGTGGAATATTTTTGAAGAAAAAAAAATATATTTCTTCGCTGAACACACAGACACACGACACATAGACAGACATATATGGAGAGGAGAAGCCGTCACTACTACTCAACAACCACATATATGATTGTGTCAAATAGAAAGAATAAGGAAAGAAAAAAAAATTTTCATAATAACGCCTTTCACTTCCTTACGACCCACCCTATCTCATCAATCCGTTATTCTCCCTTTCCACCCCCTTTGCATCAGCCTCCCCCACCACCCCCAGGCTATTCTCTCATTTTCTTTTTATAAAGTCATTTAGCTATATTACCGGTTTTTTTAAATGAAAGACATAAGAGGAAAGAAATGAAAAAGAAGATAGAAATTTTCTTTCATAATGCCATTTAACAAAACAATACCGTTTTTGCAGTCATTCACCACCATACTTGACATCATTTTATGAGACTTTTATTCATTTGGGGTTATGGAAATGGAGAAAAAGACGTCGTCAGATCAAAAATTTGCGCATTTATGGCGATTTTCATAATCATCGCTCTCCTCAACAAATAAGGAGAGAGAGAGGGACAGAGAGAGGGGGAGCGCGATATGGAAATTGAGAGAGATATATAGAGAGTAGGAATCGAACGGCAATGAGATCTCAAAAACATTCTAACCTTCCTCAGTAACGTTTGAGCTTCTAACTTCTTCCTGTCTTCATCAAAATAAACAAAAATTTACGGAAAAATATGTTTTCAAGCTGCTCGTATTGAATGAATTGCTCTACACATGTTTCCAGCTAATCAACAAAAAGAGAGAGAGAGAGAGGGAAAGAGCTTTCAAGACAGAAGCGTGAGGATGGTATTCGAGATAGCAGAAAACCGAAATGAAATTGGAAAAATCAGTGAACATGAGTGATTACTTAATTCAAAATAATGAATTTGATCAAACAATCACCTCATAACCTTCATCATTCGGCGAGCTCGCACTATTAATCATCAATAAAAAAAAACCCCTTAATTGGACAACAAAATGCCGTTTTGGACAGTTAAATGGGAAGATGTTGAGAAAACAATAATAGACATACCTTATGATCCAGCAGAGACCAACCGTCACTCGCGCCACAAAATCATCAAATGAGAATGAAATTGGAAAATGCGCGCCAATTAAAATTTGAATATTTGGCTCAATTCCACGTACCAAATAGGTATAAGGAGGAGATGATTTATTGATTGATTGATTGCACAATAAAATTAAATTTGAAATAACACTTAAGCACGACGAGCACGTGCACGAAGTCTATCGAAGATTTCGTTGTCAGATTTGAATTGGGTGTCGAATGGATCATCGAATTTGCATCCAATACGGTAATTGATGGTAGAATTCAAGCATTTGCCACTTCTCCAGAGATAATGCTCGTTGTCACGCTGTAATATTTCAAGAATACGTCAAGTATGATATAGTTATTCTAACCTTCTCAATTTGATATGTGATGAAGTTGAAGCAAGCACGATGTCCTTGATCAATTGAGGAGATGAAGACAGTGTGGGAGTTTGGACAGACAATATCACAATATTCTCTCTCGTCACCATCATGTTCTTCCTTCAATTATTCGATTGTTTATAGATATATAGATATTCAGACAAATCTATTACCTTCCAACATCCAAGGCCTTGAGGAACTTGGCGTCCCTCTCCTAATTCTTCCTCTTTCAGTACTAAACGACATTCAGCTCTGAAGAAATGAAAAGTAAACTCAAATGATACGGTTATAACGGATTACCTGTCAGGTCCTCCACGAATGGTGTTGGTTGGAGTATTACAATGAACCTCACGGTATTCTATAAATAGTTTGTTTAGATAGTTGAATGTTGAAACTCACGATGATAGCATAAGACTACCGCTAAGCTGGATGCAAGCACAATGAGATTTCGCATAATGAAACGAAGATTATGGTATTGATATGAGATTCTTTATATTTATACCCTTCGATGGGCAGCCCACCGTGCCGGATGCGAGCAACCGGTCTGTCATCCTAGCCATAAGCCTTGATGTCTACTAGCTTAACCATAAGCTGGACAATGGCTAGTTATAACAAGATAAAGATGAAATATAAAGAAAAGAAAACGCTAAAATGATTATTATCTCTAATTTGATGTATTTGAATATGGTCCGACAAGCTAAAATATCATTTCATCTCTTGTTTGTAAGGCAATGGGATGACGTGGATATCAGAAATCATAGCTTATCCATACAAATCTGCAGGCTATATAAGACATCAATGTGCGTCTCTCAATGCATGCATATCTTCACCTCAGGCATTTACAACTTTCTCTTCTTTCTTTTTTTTTTTCGCTCATTACGCAAACTTCCATACAATCTCAACTACCAGCTTATCTGTCTGAAAAGAACACGCTAAACGAGAAATGCTTCTCTCCAGCTTCCAGCACTGTTCACCAATATTCCTTCCCAACAAAACAAAGTATATGAAGTGGCAGTCGAACATATATATAAAAACAATGAAAGATTAGTAAATACAACCTAAGCAGCATAGTCATCAAGTAACTACTATCAAGATATCACTTACATAGGTTCAGACCTCATTACAAAGAACTTCATTGAATTTACGCTCACCTTAGCTTCAAAACATGCACGATTCAATCTTTTTTTTTTTTACCGCCGCACTATTCTGGATTGCCAAGATCAAAATGAGGTAAGTTGCTGTACTGTTTACTTCAGCGTATATGCTACGACCTATAGCCAATGCATGTACACTAGTCACAACTAGCGTCGCCCCTTCCCAACAAAACAAAGTATATAAAGTAGCACTCGAACATAAATAAAAACAATAAAAGTTTATAAATACAACCTAAGTAGCATAGTCAGCCAATGACCTCTATTAAGATATCTCTTACATAGACATCTTAACAGAGAATCTTCTCTAAGCACATATAAACAATTCAAATTCATATTTTACATTTGTCACAATTCAGCACACGGGATACCTTCAATTTGAGCCAACTTGCTAGACTGTTTACTACAGCGTATATGGTACGACCAAATTGCCAATTCATGTACACTAGTCATGCATCGGCTAATTTACGAATTTGATTCCTTGTGTTAAGGTTAATGATTAGCATAGTCAGCCAGAAAGTAACCACTATCAAGATTTCTTTTACATAGGTTCACACCTCTTAACCGAGAATCTCACCTCAGCTTCAACACATAAACGAATCAAACTTATATTTTATGGGCAGAAACGCAGAATCTTTTTCGAATTGAGCCAACTTCCTACACTTTTTACTACAGCGTATATGGTACGACCAAATTGCCAATTCATGTACACTAGTCATGCAC